TTAACCATCTGGGAAATGCAAATAAAAACCATAATGAGATGTCATTTCGTACGTATTAGGATGGCTATAATTAAAAAGACAGATAATTAACAAGTGTTTGAGAGGATGTGGAAAGATTAGAACCATCATACATTGTTAGTAGAAATGTAAAATGGTACACCCACTTTGGAAAATAGTCTGGCAGTTCCTCAAATGGTTAAACATAGAGTTATATGATCCAGCAATTTCACTCCTAGATATATAACCAAGAGAAAAACATATTCCACAAAAATCTCATTCATAAATATTCATAACAGCAGTATTCATAATAGCTCCAAAGTGGAAACGACCCAAATGTCCATCAACTGATGAACGAAAAAATAAAAGTGGTATATCCATGTATTAGTCCATTTTGTGCTGCTATAACAGAATACCTGAGACTGGGTGTGGGGACAAGAGTGACTTTAAAAATGCTAATTTTCCTGACTAACTCCAAGTCTGGGAATGCCTCCAAAATGTCTAGTTGATGTATTATTCTTTGCGTTGAAACACCTATTCATTGCAAAGTTTCACCTTTCCTCCAAAACAACCCTTGATGTTGTTACATACATCATAGGCAGTAACACCTGTAGCCATTCCTTCCAGAGCACATATTCTTTTTCCCCAAGATACAAGCCCTGGGTCAGGGGAGTTGTGGTGTGGAGATCTGCCTGTCTTGCAGAGGCCCAAGACCATGCTACTGTCTGTAATTCCCCTAATAAATCATCCTATACCAGCAAATGATTTGTCTGCCTCCTTTGGTTTCTCGGCTTCTTGGGCATTGCAGAGTCACTTTGCGTACACAGCCCTTTCACAGAACACTGGGTAATTTATAAAGAACAGGGGTTTATTTCTTTCAGTTCTGGAAGCTGGAAAGTCCAAGGTTGAGGGGACTGCATTTGCCAAGGGCCTTCTGGCTGCATCATCCCATGGCAGTAGGAGAAAGGGCAGGAGAGCCGGTGTGTGAGAGTGTAGGGGTGGGGGCACAGAACGGATCTTTTAATCAGAAACTCGCTCCCTCGGTAACTACCCAACTCATGTGATGCTTGTGTTAATCCATTCACGAGGGCAGAGCCTTCATAACCTAATCACCTCTTAAAGGCCGCACCTCTTAACACAGTTGCACTGGAGAGTAAATTTCCAACACATGAACTTTAGGGGACACATTCAAACCATAGCAATCCATAAAATGGAATATTATTCCCCATTAAAAGAAATAAAATGCTACACCATAGGTGAGCCTTGAAAACGTTATGCTATGTAAAAGAAGCCAGTTGCAAAGGGCCACATATTGTATGATTCCATTTATATGAATGTCCAGATAGGTAATCTATAGAGATAAAACGTAGATTGGTGGTTGCCTAGGGCTGGAGGCATTGGGTGTGTTATAGACTGTTTGTGTCCCCCCAAATTTATATGTTGAAGCCCTAATCCCCAGTGTGACTATTTGAAGATAGGGCCTGTCAGGAGGTGATAAAGGTTAAATAAGGTCATAGGATGAGGCAATTCCAAGAGGCTGCTGGCCATTAAGAGAACTGGAAGGGCATAAGAAGAGAAAGGGCCAAGTGATCCGTTTCTAAGCTTTGGGATTTTTTTTTTGTTGTTGTTCTTTTTAATTTTGAGGGGAAAATATTTGAAGCAATAAAAGTGCCTATAGGAAAATAAATACAGTGATATTCTTACTGGAACAAAAAAAAAAACAAAACAAGAAATGCTGATATATTAACTGTCCTCCTGGAGTACGCCTATGGGGATGTCCAGGGAAGGGAGGGAGTTCGGCCTGGGATGGGGGGCACTGTTCCTGCGTCCCAAGTACCCCTCCAAAATCACCTGCCACATCACAGTTGAGTGTACGGGTGGCTGGGACTCCAGCTGCCAGGCCATGGCCACCTCCCTGCCCCAGCACCAGCCTCTGCATGGCCCACCAGACTCAGAGTGAGGAACTTAAGTCCCAGGACTGGGTGAGATCACAGAGAGAAGTGTGATTGCATTGGAATAATCTCATGCCCAAAACTAGGCAGGAGCAGGGCCAGCCCCGGGGAGGCATTGTCACCGAGTGCCACCCCCTCTTCAGTCTAGCATTTACAGAGTACCTCCATACTTGTTTGCTGCCCACAATAGCTCTGTGAGGCATGTCTGCCAGGGACTAGCTCCTTGAAGCCCACAGGGCCCAGGGCCTAATACCCTGACCTCTGACCAAGGCATACAAGGGTTCACCTTGCCTAGCTGGGCTTGTACACTCTGCCCCCACCCTTTCAATTAAGGAAAGAAGATTCAAATTAAGGGGTGATATCAGGGAGGTTTGGAGGTGGAAATAGGTGGCAGAGAGACAGGCAGGGTCAGGGAAGGAGGGTGGGTCTGTCACTGAAGAGTTTTGTGGGAGCGGAAGGAAAATGGCAGGGTAGAGGGGAGGAAGGGGTGAAGGAAAAGGTACAGTTTGGCTTCACTGCATGGAAGTCCTTCTCCCCCATGATAGTGTAGGATGGGGAATGGAATCTCAAATCCTTTCTGTAGGGGTCAGGCAAATAATGCAAACAAAACATGCTGAGTCAGGGATACAATGAATGGTGGGGACTGTCCATGTTTGGGGCAGCTACTACACAATAAATCATTGCCATAAAGATCCAACGTTGCTAAATCTTCTGATTTAGAAACCAAAACAAAAATACTAGAAATTTAGATTGTGACCTGAAATCTCCTGATTTAATTGTAGGCTAAACTGTTTAAACACACACACACACACATACTGTGAGGGCCAAAATAAATGTGTTTCCTATCTCTGGCCCAAGCACTGGTCACATGTTTGGACAGTCAGGCTGCTTCTAAACCCAGCTCAGGGCACAGTGAATGCAGGGCCCAGGATAGATACCTGTTGGATTAAGCCGATCTCTCCTGCTTCTGTGGTCTGGCCTGACTCCCTGTTCTGGTTAGGCTGGTTTTATGCAATTTGAGAGGAGAAGGGGCCCAGGAATACCTACCTCAATGTGAGAAATTAGCTTATCTCTGAAAGGGATTTTGCACACAAATCCTTCTCCCAATGCCCATGTCTACCATATACCTAACATCTGTATACAAAGATACAGACTTTGCAGAGTAAGTTAACACTTGACACTCACTCAATACAACTCTGAGGAAACTGAGGCCCAAAGGCCACTAGTAAGCAGTGTAAACAGGACCTGATCAGTATTTGCAGTTATTTATTGAGTACCTACTATGTAAATGCTGGGCTCAGGCCTGCAACTCAAACCCTGGCTTGTGGTCTTTGAGGTGTCCTCAATGAAGAACATGTCAAAAACCCTTTCCCTCATCACTGACCCCGTTCGGGGGCATTTGTTGTTTCTGGCTTGAAGACACAAGTGCTGTTCATTAGATGTCACCACCTCACGAAGCCTCGCAGATTTGCTCCAGGCAGGGCCCTTCTTCACTCCCAGTGTCATTCACTCTGTGTTGTTACTCGTCCTCAGTCCACGTCCTTCAGAGGCTAGCAAGCCACTCCAGGGCTGGGGCTGTCTCACTCATTTCTGTAATCTTAGGGAGAAACTAGTACATGAGCTGGCATAGTGTTTGACAGGAGTCTAGAAAGAAGGGAACTGAGGTTTACTGAGTCACTTCTCTGACCCAAGTGCTTCATGTAGATGTTCCCGTGGAGTCTTCACCACAACCTCGTGAGGTAGCCATCCCTGGTGAAGAAACAGGCTCAGATGAGACAGACCTCCCAAGGTCACACAGCCAAGAAGAGACAATTCTGAACACTCTGAGCTTGAAGCTGAGGGTGGGGTTACTTCATATTCCTTCCCTTTAGCCCCTACTCTCTGTGGGCACAGTCCTCGATGCGGCAAGCCTGATAAAAGAAGGCAAAATTGGGGGGCAGGGAACCAGAAGCCTGGGCTAATGGTAGGACTGTCCCACAGGCAGCTCCCTCCTCCAACCTCAAAATTTGAGGGCTTCCATCTGTGCCTCTCCCAGGAACACGGCAGCTCTGGGGAGGGAAGGGTCTCCCAGTTTGGACTCTGCTCTGAGCACAGATTATGCAGTGCTTTGGGAAGCCTCCCCCGGCTCTCATATATGCTGTTTTACCAGTAGAAATACATTTGTTTGGGCAATGCCCAGGGAAAAGGGCCACATTCTGTCCCCAATGTCCAGGCGCAAGAGAACCTTCACCACTTTTTCCTCTATTGACAGGGGAGCAGAGAAAGAGCCTGGGGCACTTGTGAGGGAAGGGGCTGAGGAAGGGGAAGGTACAGACAAACCTTGAGCTTTTTGCCCCTGCCTAGAAATGCTGCAAAGCATCCCCTGAACTCAACAGACAGGTCTGTTCTGGGGCCCTACAACTCTAGGACTTCACCTGTAAAGATAGTTCTCATGCGGTGAGAGGTCTTTCAAAAGGGCCATACAACCTAGAGCTCACATAATGGTCCCAAGTTCAAACTCTCTGGTCCCTCTGCCAGAACACAGTCTTCCTCAGGGTCCCCTCTTGAAGTTAGGTTAGGGGATCCCCTCCCACCCCCTGCCATTGCACTCCTCACAGGGGCTTGCCTGGCTTCTGGTCCCATTCCTCTGGGAAGAGGTAGTTGTTGCTCTTGGTCTTCCCTAGGCCTGTGAAGAGAGCAGGTGAGCAGTTGCCAGAGGTGTCCTACATCTCTGCAAGCAGCTACCTCAGTGCTAGACAGCTCCTGCCATCCCAAACTATCCCTCTAGCTGGCCAAAGTTTTGTCTTTGTATCCTTAAAGAACAGGCCTAAACCCTCTTATCTGGAAGGACTCCCTGAAGACAGTGATCACAACTCTAGTGTTCTGATTCTTCCAGCTTGGCGTTCCTTGACTCAGCCCAGAAGGCCTGGCAAAAGGCGTGGAGACTCTTCCAAATCCCATCATCGGCTCTCAAGTCAACAGCCCTAGGGGAGCAGAAAGCGGGTCTGCTTAGAGACCCTAGTCCCTTCAGGCTCCTTGAACACTGGACCAAAGTCAGAGCTGAAATGTGGGCTAAAACTGAAGCCTGGGGTATTTGCAGAGGCTGCCACCCTGGTGTGTCCACCGGTGCTGGCCCAGGTTGGAACTTCTGGCAAAGGCCCTGCCACACTGCAAGCAGATGTAGGGCTTCTCACCACTGTGGGCCACCTGGTGGACCAGCAGGTGGGAGCTCTGGCTGAAGCTCTTGCCACACTCACTGCAAGCATAAGGCTTCTGGCCTGTGTGAGTGTGCTGGTGCCGCAGCAGATTTGAACTGTCCACAAAACTCTTGCTACAATCAGAGCACTTGTAGGGCTTCTCACCTGTGTGCAAGCGTTGGTGTTTAAGGAGCTTGGAGCTGTGGTAGAAGCTTTTGCCACATTCTGAACAGGCATAGGGCCGTTCACCCTGGTGGATGCGCTGGTGCTCAGTGAACTGAGTGAGTTCACTAAAGCCACAGCCGCATTCAGGACACCTGAAGGGCCGCTCTCCATTGTGGGTGCGCTGGTGCCGTAGGCAGTCCGAGCTGTTGGTGAAATTCTTGCCACACTCACAGCAATTGTAGGGCTTCTCACCAGTGTGTGAACGCTGGTGCTTGAGCAGATAGGAGCTGCGCCCAAAGCTGTCACCGCACCAGGCACACAGGTAGGGCTTCTCACCAGTGTGTGAGCGCTGGTGCTGCAACAGGTTGGAGCTAAGGCTGAAGCTCTTACCGCAGTCCCCACAGCGGTAAGGCTTCTCCCCCGTGTGCGTGCGCTGGTGTTGGATCAGGTTGGAGCTAACGCTAAAAGTCTTACCACATTCGGCACAGGTGTAGGGCTTCTCACCTGTGTGCACCCGTTTGTGTTTTACCAGGTCTGAGCTGCGGCCAAAAGCCTCCCCACACTCCGGGCACTTGTGGGGCCGGAGGCCTGCGTGGGAACGACGGTGCTGGATAAGGTTGGAGCTAAGGCTGAAGCAACGGCCACACTCGGGGCAGGGGTACGGCTTTTCACCAGTGTGTACCCGGTGGTGCTTAACCAGATCTGAGCCACGTCGGAAGCTTTTGCCACACTCCGGACAACTGTAAGGCTTGTCACCTGCGTGGCTGCTTTGGTGGTGAATGAGGTCGGGGAGGCAGGCTGCGGTCAGCCCACACTTCCGGCACTCGAAGGCTTTGGAGAGTGCAAGAAGGTTGGTCTTGGCAAAGTCTTCTTCCTTTCCAGGGCCAGAGCCTGGCCTACATAGGTACTGCAGGCCCAGTAGCATTTCCCGGGCGGCCGGTTGCCCCTGCCACACCAGGAAAGGCCGCTCAGGCGGAACACCCTCGCAATCCAGGGGCGACCTGGAGCCTCCCCGGTATCTTAATGTTCCGCTCCCCTGCTGCTCCGCCCCGTCCGGGTTCTCCCTCGCCACTTCTGGTGCCGCCGACTCCATTGCGGGTGAAGAGCGCCCGGTTCTCCAGATGCCAGCTACTCAGCTCATAAACACAGCCAGAACTGGAGACACTCGGGACCCTGGGGTCCGGCAACGGAAACGGAAAAGTCCACAAGCCAGTGCCGCTCTAGGAAGTGGCAGCGAATGTTCTCGGTAGGTTTAACCCTCTCATTCACCTGACCGAGCGAGAGCTCCCATCTGCGGCGCTGTCAGGGCTTATAACACTTTCGGCCTGGTTCAGGGTACTTCGAGTCGGTCAGCCCGGACTTTGGAGCCCCGGCCACCGCTAGGGGGCAGCGAAGTGAGCCTGAATGTAGAAAGGCGGTCCCTGCCAAGGAGACGCCGGGGGCAAAGCAGCACGGTAGGAAGACTCCATGGTTGGACGTCTGGATCTCCAGAGGCACCGGCCCACTGGGAGACTCCTGGAAGAGAGTTTCCCATCCGTCCTGAGGGAGGCATGTTAAGCTTGCTGCGGACTACAAATTCCAGCATGCACCGCACGCGCCTCTCGGGCTCGCACAAAGACTAGATAACCACCACTCCCGACGTGCCTTCTGCGACTGTGCAAGAACCAGAGTTCCGGGATCGGTAATTACAACTTCCGACTCGCAGGAAAACTGCGGCGGCGCTATTTAACAAGCGTCAAAGAGGAGGACCCCGGCCACGCCCCTCTCTTCCAGTTCCGCTCCCTCGGCTAAGTGGCGAGGAGTGGGGCGGGGCTTTAGGCCCGAGCCAAGATGGCGGCTGCAAAGCCAGCGCTCACGGACTCGCTCTCGTTCTGCCTCGCGCAGCTCGCGGCCGCGGCCGGGGAGGGCCTGGGTGGGGAAAAGGACTCAGCTACCAACGAGACACCTCTGGGCCGTGCGCTCTTAGCCCTCCGCACGCGCCACATCAAGGCAGCGGGGGGCATCGAGCGCTTCCGGGCACGCGGCGGGCTCCGCCCCCTTCTCGTACTGCTACGGCGAGCGGCTGCAGCGGGCCCCGCCCCTTCCCAGGCCGGCCCCGGCTCCGCCCCCTCATCGGACGTGTCAGCTACTTCTGGCCCTGCCCCTTCATCGGGCTCCGCCCCCTCCGCTGTGTCGTCGACGCCTTCGCCGCCAGTGCGCCTGCGCAAGACGCTGGACTTGGCGCTCAGCATCCTGGCCAACTGCTGTACGGAAGGGGCGTGCCGGGCTGAAGTGCGCAGACTCGGAGGCATACTCCCTTTGGGTAAGTGCTCCGCCCCCATTTCCTAGAAAGATTTCCACCTGCATCTCTCTCTGGGCTTGGGCATTCTTGAATTCTTTGTGTCATAGCTTGGAATAACGTGCTTTGTGATGACGCAGCGCTCTCACTTCTCAAGCTGTCGTGCCCCGCGACGTCACCTTCTCTGTATAGATTACACCAGAGCCCTCCCAGACCAGATAAATACAGCCATGATCTAGGTATTGGCTGTTGGGCACTTCCCTCGCGTCTGGACTAGCAGAGCCCAAAGGGTTATTTGGTGACTTTTTCAGATGATTCTTATCCTCCAGTTAAGAGGACACTCCGCGCCTATTATGTGTCTGGCCGTGTGCGAGGGTCTGAAGCCCTACTTGTTGAGCGGATGCCAGAAGGTGTAGTGGTTCAGAAAGGGAGTTCTCTTGCAAAAGTCATCTAATCCCTCCGAGGCTAAGATTCCTTGTAAAATAGGGTAATAATAGCTATCTCGCAAAGTGGGGAGAAAATGAAATACAAATATAGCACCCAACACTCTAAGCATGGGCTCGGTACTTCAGATCATTATAATAGAAACGCACAGTAAGAACAAATCCCAGCAAAAGATAAACTTTTCTGTTTACCAGCTAAATTGGTGCCTCCTAGTGGCAATCGTGTGAACACAGTTTATAAAACATGGTTTGCTCTCCATGAAATTATGCTAGTTTTTCTAAAATATTAATTTTTCTGATAAATGAAACATTAATATATTTAACATTTACATAAAATGTATCTGGATCATAATGTGTTTGACAGGAGACCTAGTACATTAAGTAACCCCCATAATTCAGTTTCTATTTTGCATTTTGAGTTGCTCCTGAATCTATCCACTTTCCTATCCCTCCTTCTACCATGTGCCCAGAGACTGGTACCCCTGGGTTGGGTGGTGCTTATAGCTGAGTTGGTTTAAGAAGCTATTGTCCTTTCTTGTCTGGACTATTGTGACAGCCTCTTCACCAGTCCTCCAGTCCTATTCCTTTCTTCCCATGGATGCCAGGGGTCACTCCCCTTCTTAAAACCCTTGCATTGGTCCCAGTGCCTTCACATTCAGGTCCTGACCCCTTGGCTTGGCATTCGAAGCCCTTCATGAAGTTATAGCACAGACACTGGGTCTTACCTCTGGACCTTTGCAAAGACTGCTTCCAAACCAGAAATGTCCTCTAACACCCTCATCCACCATCCTTTTAGCAAATACCTACCTGTTTAGCCCTCTAGACCAGACTGAGTGTTAGCCTCTTTTGAAGGCCTTCCCTGACCCTCTCAGGCCACATTGTTGAGGTGCTTAATGAGAGAGACAATAAAGGGTAGAACCCTCACGAGCCCACATCCTCCTTGCAGTGACCATTCTTCAGTGCGTGAAGACGGACAGCATCCAGAACCGAACAGCCCGGGCTCTGGGGAACTTAGCCATGGAACCTGAGAGCTGTGGGGACATCCACTCTGCTGGTGAGAAGGCTGTGAGGGTGGGGTCAGCTAGGGCTCGAGGTGGGAGAAGGGCTTGAGTGTCTGTGCTTGCTCACCTTCTATCCTCTGCTTTCCTCCCCTCTTCAGGTGCTGTTCCCCTGCTCGTTGAGAGCCTGACAGCCTGCCAGGACTCACAGTGCCTGCAGAGTGTGGTGCGTGCCCTCCGCAACCTGGCAGACTCACCCCAGCACCGCCTGGCCCTGGCACAGCAGGGAGCAGTGCGCCCACTGGCTGAGCTCCTGGCTGCTGCCCCAGACCCTGCACTGACCTCAGCCCTAGTCCGTGCCCTCCTGGAACTCAGCCGAGGTTGCTCCCGGGCCTGTGCTGAGCAGCTAAGTCTGGGTGGGGGACTGGGCCCACTTGTCAGCCTGGCTTCCCACCCCAAACGGTCAGTAAGCGAGGCCACCATTCTGATCCTTGCCAACCTATGTGCCCAAGGCCTGGTACGACCTGCACTAGGCAATGCTGGTGGTGTGGAGGTGCTACTAGGTGAGCTCCAGCGGCGCCGGGGCCCCAATGGGGTCAGCCCCGCCTCCCAGCAGCCCCTGGTGCGGGCTGTGTGCCTCCTGTGCCGGGAAGCCATCAACCGGGCCCGGCTGCGGGACGCTGGTGGTTTGGAGCTGCTGATGGGCCTGCTGCGGGACCCTCGTGCCAGTGCCTGGCACCCTCGTGTTGTGGCCGCCCTTGTGGGCTTTCTCTATGATACTGGGGCCCTGGGCAGGCTACAGGCTCTGGGACTTGTACCTCTCCTGGCTGGGCAGCTGTGTGGTGAGGTTGGCGATGAGGAAGAAGAGGGAAGAGAAGCTGCTTCCTGGGACTTCCCCGAGGAGCGGACCCCTGAGCGGGCAGAGGCTGGAAGCTTCCGAAGCCTCAGGTGAGTCCCCACCTCAGGGATTGGGAGCTTGGGCAATGCTTGGGGTGGGGATTTGTGTCTCTTCTGGTCCTTTTCACTACCCTGCCCCCCATTCTGTCTCAGTAAGAGACCAGGACTCCTGATTCCTTGCTCTTTCTGACATGACCACCTTCCAGTCCCCATTAAATGTACCTCCCGTCCCCTGGATCTACCTTTTGGCTTTGGTTCCACACCAGCACCTCTGAACTTTGGGCCCTAGACAAGTTCATTGGGATGTGTACTGGTTAAGATGGTGTGCTCTGGAGTCCAAGTTCTTATTCTGTTACCATCACTTACATGGAGGAGCGTCATGGGCAAACTAATTAACTCTTTGGAGACTCTGATTCCTTGTGTGTAACATACGTGCCTCATGGAGTTGTTGTTAAGATTTGCCCCTTAGCTGGCACTAAGCGTTGCTCAGTAAATGTTGGCCTTGTTGTGAACTCTCTGACGTCATTTCCTATCACTTTCCCTGGTGCTTGCTACACACTTACCGCCTTCTAGCTAGATTTTGAACATGATAGGTGGGTACCATCTCAGGGCCTCTTTGATTGCTATTCTCTCTACTTAGAACACTCTTCCTCATACATGTCTTTGTCTCTGACTTCCTGTAAGTCTTTAAGCTCTTACTTGCTTGGTGGAGGCTACCATTGTCACCTCCTTTAGGATTTCAGCTCTCTGCTTCCTCTCCTCTTCCCTAGCTCTTTCTACACCTTTTTATTTTTCTCGGTTATCATTTTACACCACACTAACCTACCGTATGGTTTACTGATACCGTTGTCTGCTTCTCTCAATAGAACATCAGCTCCCAGAGGACAGGGACTTTGTTTTGTTTGGTGCTTTTCCCCAGCACCTAAAGCAGGGCTTGGCACATGATAGGCATCAGTAATTTCTGAAAGAGGTTTTGGTCCCCCCTCCCCAACTTCTGTTTCTCCCCATCCCCCCTTTATCCAGCTTCCTCTTCACTCCCGCTTCACCTCCTTTTGCAAGGGGCCTCCTTTGACTCTGCTGTGCATCACCTTGGCTCTGGGTTCAGTGTCCTCTTTCTGCCTTCTGCAGGTCGTGGCTGATCTCTGAGGGCTACGCCGCAGGCCCTGGAGACATCTCTCCAGACTGGTCTCCCGAACGTTGTCCCCCACCAGAGCCAGCGGAGCCAGTCAGCCCAACCTTGCTGCGGACACCACGCACACTGCGCACGCCAGGACGCAGCCCTGCCACCTCCACTGAGGAGCCTTGGGGACGTGAGGGGCCTGCGCTGTTGCTGCTGTCACGCTTCTCCCAGGCTCCCGACCCGAGCGGGGCACTGGTGACCGGCCCCGCACTGTGCGGCCTACTGGCTTACGTGACCGGTGCACCTGGTCCACCAAGCCCACGCGCACTGCGCATCCTGGCGCGCCTCACCTGCAACCCTGCCTGCCTCGAGGCCTTCGTACGCAGCTATGGTGCAGCGCTGCTGCGGGCCTGGCTGGTGCTTGGCGTTGCACCAGATGACTGGCCCGCACCACGTGCCCGGCCTGCTCGCCGCAGCCAGCACCGAGAGCTGGGTAAGTCCCCTTCTCTGCTTTCCTGCCCACAGGCGACACCTCAGCCTCCTCCTATGCTTTCAGCGGGCCCAGCACCTCACCTTACCACTCTGCCCTCTCGCTGTCCTCCCCAGCCCACCATCAAAACAACCCCAGTCACTGAGTGCGCAGTAGGACACTCCCTTCTGCTCCACAGGCCTAGCATGTGGAGTTTTGCTGTGTCCTCTGCCCAAGCCTTGGAGCACACATACCCTGACACCAGGTGTGGTCCCTGACAGCCTAGAATCTTGCCTGTGTTTCTTTACCGACTCTGCTCTTGGTTCTGCACTGTTCTGACTACTCCCTCTACCACTGACTGGTGAAGCCAGGCTCGGGCACCACTTCCAACGCTGCCAGGGACTGCCCTGTCTTCCGTGCCCTGACTGCAGACTGTTTCAGTCCTTGAAGGCCCAGACTCACACCCTGACCATCGTACTTTCTGTTCTCGCCCTTGACTTCTATTTTCTAGCCTCTTGACCCCAGCCCTCTAGGGCCTGCAGCCATCCCCCTCTTCCACGCCCTGATTTCTTGCCCTGAGGCTTTACCCTCCTTCCTTTCAAGTGCCCAGAGTCCTGCTTTGCCCCTCCCACCCCAGTCTTGGACACCAACTCCAACCTGACCAGCTCTGCCCACCCCTGCAGGTGAGATGCTGCTGCAGAACCTGACCGTACAGGCCGAGTCACCCTTCGGAGTAGGTGCCCTCACTCACCTGCTGCTCTCTGGGAGCCCTGAGGACCGTGTGGCCTGTGCGCTGACCCTGCCCTTCATTTGTCGGTGAGGGGGATGTGGGTGCCTTGCAGGGGTCAGGGGAATAATGTTGCTGTATCCCAGTGTCACTCTTTTCCATCTCCTAAAAGACTGCCTTTTGCCCCATAGGAAGCCCTCTCTGTGGCGCCGGCTACTTCTGGACCAGGGTGGCCTCCGTCTTCTCCTCACAGCGCTAACTCGGCCCGTTCCACACCCGCTCTTCCTCTTCTTTGCTGCGGACTCCCTCTCCTGCCTGCAAGGCCTGATGTCTCCCGCTGCGAGCCCAGCTCTCCCACCTGCAAGCCCCTTGGACCTAGACCCATCCTCCCCTTGCCTCTACGAACCTCTGCTGGGCCCAGCCCCCGTCCCAGCCCCTGACCTGCACTTCCTACTGGACTCAGGCCTGCAGCTCCCCGCCCAGCGAGCTGCCTCAGCTACTGCCTCCCCTTTCTTCCGGGCTCTGCTATCTGGCAGCTTTGCCGAAGCCCAGATGGACCTAGTGCCACTGCGAGGCCTGTCACCCAGTGCAGCCTGGCCTGTCCTGCATTATTTGCATGGCTGCCGGGGCTGTGGGGCTGCCCTGGGGCCTGTGCCCCCAGCAGGCCAGCCCTTGCTGGGCTCAGAGGCTGAAGAGGCGCTGGAGGCTGCTGGCCGTTTCCTGCTGCCTGGGCTGGAAGAGGAGCTGGAAGAGGCTGTGGGCCGCATCCACCTGGGGCCTCAGGGCAGGCCAGAGTCTGTGGGTGAGGTGTTCCGCCTGGGCCGGCCCCGGCTGGCTGCCCACTGTGCCCGCTGGACACTGGGGCCAGGGCAGTGCCCAAGGAAGCGGGGCCTGGCCCTGGTGGGGCTTGTGGAGGCAGCGGGTGAGGAGGCAGGGCTCCTGACTGAGGCTTTACTGGCTGTGGTGATGGGGATTGAGTTGGAGGCAAAGGTCCCAGCCTAGACTGTTGATGTCCCCTGGGAGGGGACCCAAGGACAATTTGGCTGTGAAGGGGACCTCCCTCAGAATGGTCAGGAAGAAGGCTGAGCAGAAGGAGTCATCATCGAGAACTGATGAGAAGATGGAACGGGACCCCCAGGATGATGCCGCGGACTCCCCTTGCTGCCTGCAAGGCCTGGTGTCTCCCACTGTGAACCCAGCTCTCTCACCCTCAAGCCCCTTGGACCTAGACCCACCCTCCCCTTGCCTCTACGAACCTCTGCTAGGCCCAGCCCCCATCCCAGCCCTGACCTGCACTTCCTACTGGACTCAGGCCTGCAGCTCCCTGCCCAGCGAGCTGCCTCAGCTACCGCAGGATGAGGATCTGAAGACCCAGGAGCGAGAAGCCAAGGCCAGGCAGGGCCTGGGCATGGGGCCCAAGAGAATAACAGCCCAGGGCCCCGGAGATCTGGCTTGGTCCATCCCTTTGGAGTTCAGATTAAAAACTTTGGAGTTGGATACCTCTGTTGTATGGTGTCTCTGCTTACTTTCCTGTGGTAGTAGCCCACCCCTTCACCCACCAAACGGAGTCTTATCTAGGTCTCTGTGCCTTGACACAGGCCACCTGTGGCATGTCAGAGTTTAATAAGTAATCGACCAGTGGTTCCTGGAGTCCCAGGATAGGGTAGAGTTCCTAGACTTCTTCCTAGGATGTGGTTTTGAGCTCCAAGGGAAGTCTGCTTCCTGCTCACAGGGCCTCATTGCTCAGACATAACACCCAGCTGGACACACAGACCTTGGTCAGGGCTGAGAGGGTTGTGCTGAGGGAGTGCCATGAGTGTGGGGATGTGTCTGGAAGGCCTTGGCATTACTGTTTCCTGACTGTCTTTTGCCCATCTTGGGCCCTCAGTCTCTGGGTTCATTTTCCTCTCTTGGGCCACGTGTCTTACTGCTGTCTGCCTAAGGGAAGACCTGCTGTATTCCTGGGGTCTTTGAGGCCCTATCTTAATCATGGCCAGAGAGAGCCAAAGCCCTGTGCTGGCATTCAGATGAGGGAAGGGCTGATGTTGCTTTGGTGTCCAAGGCCGGGTCTCCATCACCCGGCTTCCAGATCTTTGACCACGTGGGTGGCAGCCTGACTTTGAGGAGAGTGCTGGACTGGGCCTACCAGGGTCTGCTTCTAGGGAGCTAAGCTTGGTCTTGCTGTTTCAGGGCCTCTATGGGTGTCCATCCAGGCCTCTGGTTCTCAGGCTATGTTAGGGCCATGCAGAGAGCTTTGAAAAAATACTGATGCCTAGGCCCTTTCTGATTGAATTGGACTGTGGGGTGCCCTGAGCATCAGCATTTTTAAAAAGCTCCCCAGGTTCTGATTTGCTCCTGGGTTGAGACCCACAGTCCAGTGCTCAGATCTGTCCGAGAGTGGCTGCAACACAGTTGTGTCCGTCCCCACCCATCTCTAGAGTGTCTCCTTTCCACTTTGATCTCTCAGGGCCTCTGTCTGGGGAAGGAAGGCCTCTTGGTACTTTGTGGCTGGAGTCCGTGTCTTGCCTTCTTCTCTGTGCTCATCAGTATCTTGGGAAAGTGCTGTTTTGGAACAGGCCTGGGTCACCTCAGTGTTGGGGAAAGGCTTTGTCCTGCAGGCTGGCGGAGGTCTGGCTGCCTGGGAATGTTTTCCTTGAGTCTGCGTGGGGCTTGGGCCTGGGTTTCAGTTTACCCATGTCTATGTCCAAGCCTTGGAGGGAAGGTCCTAGCTTAGAGTGCGGGTGGGGTCGCTCTGTCTGTCTCCACTCTGAGAGATTTCTTTGTGTCTAGTGTGTATGCCTCTTGGGATCTCTGTTTATTTGTCTGTCAGGGTCTCTGATGGAAAGTCTTTGAACCTGGGGTCTGACTGAACCTTAGAACAGAACTCCTGCCTCCAACTCAAAAATTCTGTCTGGGACAAGTCTCTCAGAAATGGCCCAGGTGGGAGGGAGGCTGTCTAGGACTCGAGTGCTGGCTTTGGCGGGTGTATGCTTGGGCCTCTGGGGCTTGGTCTGGAAGAGCCACTTCTCTGGCTCTGGCTCTGGTCGCCTGCGGCTCCCTGCCTCTGAGGCCAAGGCTGGGGTGTGGCCGCCTCCGCGGCAGGCCGGCGGGCTGGGCTCGGGTGGGCAGAGGCGCTCCCTCCCTTCCACGCCCCCACCCCGGGTTCCCCCGTTCACGGCCCCCCCTTATCCCCATCCCAGCGGGTCCCGGCTTCCTTACATGGTCACGCCCGGGCTTCCAGCTCCCGGACGTCCCCCCGCCCCCGCCCCCACCGGACACGGCCCCCGCCCTGCTCGCCCCGCGCCACCCGCCTGCGCCCCGCCATGGAGGACCTGGGTGAGTGGGGCCCGGATCCCCGGGTCCCCAGCCCCTCACCGCTGCCTAGATCTGCTTCCCCGCTGTCGCACTCCCGGCATCTCCCCATCCTCTATCTCTGGCTTCTCCTCTCTGCCGCGCCTCCTTTCCAACTCCACGTCCCCCTTCCTGCCTCTCTTCCTGCCTTTCCTGGGCCGGCCGCTCCCTCCCTTCTTTCCTAGCTCTGCTCCTTCATCCCTGGCTGCGGGGGATGAAATGGGAGGTTTAGCGCCGGTGGGCTCCTGGGCTCAGGGGCTCTGGGAAGGGAGGAGTTAAAGGGACCCTGGGCCCGGGGCCTGGGAAAGTGGACGGGAGGGGAGAGTATGACATCAAGTTTTGGACAAGAAAGCGGGCCTGCGCCAAGGTTTTGGGAAGAGAAGAGTTAAGGGCTCCTAAGTATGGCTGGGGTCAAGTCCTTGGGGCAAGGAAGAGAATAATAGATGAGGAATGTCAAGATGCCAGAGAGAGATTAAGGGTTTGAAGAGTGTACGGGCAGGAACTTTTAGGTTCTGGAAGGGAAAGGGTTCAAAGCGCCCAGATCTGGGGATGGTGTCAGGACGGGGTTGAGGAGGTGTCTTGAGCTGGAAGGATGACCCAGGTATCTTGTCCTCTCTGCTGAGACTGGGGCTGCAAGGCTGTGCCCACCATAGGAGGGAAGGGCTTCCAGCATCCTGCAGTAGAGGGTGCTCCTCAGTAAGAGTAACTGGCGCTGTACCGTGGAGAAGAAGCCAATCAGAAAGCAGGTCCCCGCAAACTCGCCAATGAGGAGCATAGGGTGGGACTCAGTGGGGCTTGGAAGTGGGCCAGGCTGGGCGGGGCCTGTTTAGGTAAGGGGGGGAATTGGTGAGTGTGGCAGAGAGTGCATCCAATCAGAAAGCTGGGTGCCAGGCATATGGCCAATTGAGCAATTTAGAGTGGAGTCAGATTTGGCTTGAGTAGAGCCAGTTTTGACTGCGTCAGGGAAGACGGGGAGGTTAAAAGAATCAGGCGGCTGGGTTTGTGCTTGACTCCCAGGATGAGCCAATTGGGATGTTCTGATCATAAATATTCCTTGCTACCCTTCCACTTCTTTGCCTTGGTCTGGCCCTTTTGACTCATGACCTCTGCTCTTAATACTGGCTTTTGTCCTTCTCAAATATTGACCATTTGCTCTTACCCTCTGATATCTTAAGGCCGTGTCTCTGCCCTAACAGTGATCCCCTCAATCTCTCACCCTGATGGCCTCTCCCTGCAGATGCCCTGCTCTCTGACCTGGAGACCACCACCTCACATATGCCAAGGTCAGGAGCTCCAAAAGAGCGCTCCCCAGAGCCACTCACACCTCCCCCACCCTATGGCCACCAGACACAGGTGAGATCAGAGGCTGGGGACTGGAGCAGCTACTAGGGCCCAGCTTGGCCCAGGCTAGGGGATCTGGGCCTGAGTGGAACAAAGTCCAGGCCAGTCATCACACATATGCATCTCTTCTCTGTAGACAGGGTCTGGGGAGTCTCCAGGGGCCTCTGGGGACAAGGACCATCTGTACAGGTGAGGAGCCTGGGAACTGGGGGTTAGGGAAGCCAATGGAGGCTCAGGTGAGAAGGCTTGGATTCCCCACCCCTGAACCCAGGCTCCCATTCTGTTTCCCAGTACGGTATGCAAGCCTCGGTCCCCAAAGCCTGCAGCCCCTGCGGCCCCTCCATTCTCCTCTTCCAGTGGTGTCTTGGGTACTGGGCTCTGTGAGCTAGACCGGTTGCTTCAAGAACTTAATGCCACCCAGTTCAACATCACAGGTACCAGGGTTACTGAGGCAGGCCTTGATGGGAGATGGGCAGGGAAGGGAAGGGCAGAGACCAAGGGGAATATACTTCCCAGAGTAGCAATTCAAGGAACCCAAAGCCTCGACTGGGAGGATGGGATGAGCATGACCCTATGGCCAATATCCTTCTCTCCTGTCTGCAGATGAAATAATGTCTCAGTTCCCATCTAGCAAAGTGGCTGCAGAGGACCAGAAGGAGGACCAATCTGAAGACAAGAAAAGACCCAGCCTGTGAGTTTGGCATAGTTGGCAGGGCTGGGAGAAAGGTGATGGGCCTTGGATGTCTGAGTTACTGGAGGGAGCATTACTCTGGAAGGCTCTGTGATGACACAAGCTGTTTTCTTTACAGCCCTTCCAGCCCATCTCCTGTCCTCCCAAAGTCCTCAGCCACCTCAGCCACTCTGGAGCTGGATAGACTGATGGCCTCGCTCTCTGACTTCCGTGTCCAGAACCATGTGAGTCAGGCAGGGTTTGGGCTGGTGTCAATTTGTGGCTCCCCAACTCATTCTAGACCCCGCCATGCCTGTTGACTTGCTGACTCAATTCTCGTGTCTTCCCCACCGCAGCTTCCAGCCTCTGGGCCAACCCAGCCACCGGCGGCAAGCTCCATGAATGAGGGTTCCCCATCCCCACCAGAGCCGACTAGCAAGGGCAGCCTGGACACCATGCTGGGGCTGCTGCAGTCCGACCTCAGCCGCCGTGGTGTTCCCACGCAGGCCAAGGGCCTCTGTGGCTCCTGCAATAAACCTATTGCTGGGCAGGTAAGTGGAGCCCTGTGAGAGGGGAGGCAGAGACCCACAGACCCATGTTTACTGAGAGCCAGGCTTTGTGCTATTCCCTTTTAATAAATAACTCTATGAAGTGGGTATTACTGATACTCATTTTATGGACGAGGAAACTGAAGCTCTGAGTCATACAGCAGGTAAGTGGTAGGGTGAGAATTCCAACCTAGTTATCATTTATTGTGACCCTACTGTGTGCCAGGCACTGTTCTAGCTCCTTTACAAACTCCCATCTCATTTAATCTTCACAAGACTCATTGGCTCCACCCACCATTTCTCAGGTATCCTCAAAGACTGTCTCTCCTCTGTCAGAGTCTGGTCTGGGATTTCTGGTTCTCGGCTTGTTGACTAAGCAGATGTGATTGACAACAGCTGTGTCCAGTAGTTAGTCTACAGCCTCCTGCTAGATAAAGTGCCTGACACCCCTCCCAGAATCACTGATCATAGCAATGCATGGTGGCATTATGACTCTCATCTTCATGGGTTCCTTCTTCCATTCAAAAAAATTAAAAATTGTACTTTATGTCTGTGTTGGTATAAAGATGAATATATTCATATTAAATCATTTTCTTCTAGTTCATTTTTTTCTTCCAATTTTAAAAGACATGAAAACATTTTCATGGGCCCCTCAAAGTATTGTGAGCACTGTGCCTGCCATGCCTCGTGAATAAATAAGTCAACCCTAGAGCAAGGCTGGGTTGAATCCCCATCACTTACAGGCTGCATGGTCTTGAACATAAGAGTCTTCATCCTGGTCTCTCAAAGAGAAGACTTGAAAAATGCCACATAAACCTTAGCTCACTGAGCGTGTGGCAGTCAGAGGGCCCTTCTGACCCAAGCCTCATCCCCCTGAATCACAGGTGGTGACAGCTCTGGGCCGGGCCTGGCACCCTGAGCACTTCGTGTGCGGTGGCTGTTCCATGGCCCTGGGAGGCAGCAGCTTCTTTGAGAAGGATGGAGCCCCCTTCTGCCCCGAATGCTACTTTGAGCGCTTCTCACCAAGATGTGGCTTCTGCAACCAGCCCATCCGACACGTGAGCCCCGCCTGGCCCGCCTGGCAGATCTGTCACTGTCCCACCCAGAGAGCCTGTGGGATGGGCCTCATCCCTATTGGTCCCCCCACCCACACCCCCACCCCCACCCTGCCCCTTGGCAACGTCCATGGCCCCTTGGACTCCGCTCTCCTCTTTGGTTCCCAAACTCCTGTTACATCTTCCGCTCCCTGGACTCATACCTCAGCCCAGCCAGCCAGGTTCGGAGCGGGAGAGAGCAGCAAGAAGGGACGGACGGTCACACTGAGTGTCCCCTTTCACTCCCCACAGAAGATGGTAACCGCCTTGGGCACCCATTGGCACCCAGAGCACTTCTGCTGCGTCAGTTGCCGAGAGCCGTTTGGAGATGAGGGTGAGAGAGCTCAGCTCCGCCTTAAAAGCCTCCGGTCCGGGACGTCTCGCCCCAACCCTCCGACCTCGGGAGCCCTCGGGGCCGTGAATTTTCTCTCGTTCTCCTCTGGCCCTACCCTCTCCCGCACGTGGGCTCCCGTCCCAGCCCCTCCCGCTCTGGCCACCTCAGACCGCGTCCTCTCGCTCTGACTGCCCCATCTGCCCCAGTCTCGCATCTCGTGGGTCCCGGCCCCGCCCGCACCCTTTCCTCTCGGCCCACTCGCCTCCCGCCCCCAGGTTTCCACGAGCGCGAGGGCCGCCCCTACTGCCGTCGAGACTTCCTGCAGCTGTTCGCCCCGCGCTGCCAGGGCTGCCAGGGCCCCATCCTGGACAACTACATCTCGGCGCTCAGCGCGCTCTGGCACCCGGACTGCTTCGTCTGCAGGGTGCGCCGCGGGGGCCGAGGCCTGGGGGGCGGGACAGGCCCCGGGTGGGGCGGGTTTTCCCCGCGGGTTCCTTCCGGAGCGACGCTTCGGGTCTGGGCGGGGCCGCGAGGGTCACAGCGCGGCACTGAGCGAGTGATCCGGCCCGGCGCGGCCGCTGACCTGTCCCGGCGCGGCCTCCCCTCCCTAGGAATGCTTCGCGCCCTTCTCCGGAGGCAGCTTTTTCGAGCACGAGGGCCGCCCGCTGTGCGAGAACCATTTCCACGCGCGCCGCGGCTCGCTGTGCGCCACGTGTGGCCTCCCGGTGACCGGCCGCTGCGTGTCGGCCCTGGGCCGCCGCTTCCACCCCGACCACTTCACCTGCACCTTCTGCCTGCGCCCGCTCACCAAGGGCTCCTTCCAGGAGCGCGCCGGCAAGCCCTACTGCCAGCCGTGCTTCCTCAAGCTCTTCGGCTGACCGCCCTCCCGCCTCCCGCTCGCCCCCGGGGGCCGCGCCCGTGCGGAAAAGACGGAGTCCTCCCGACCCCAGGCCTTGCCCTTAGAGCTTGGGGTACCCCAACCCCGCTCTGTGAGGCCCCACCCCCTGGAGAGACCCGCCTCTAAGGTACTCTGTGTTCTCAGGGGTCAAGTTCAGAAAAGGCTCAGCCAGTTCTTAACCCACACGCCCCAAATGCGGATTGTCCACTGACAGAGGTCCCGCGTAAATCCTGCACTCTAGTCCCGCCCTTGAGGGAGCCCCCTCCGGGTCCGTGCAACTCTGACTAAGCAGAGGCCAGGCCAGGGCTCCCTGCCCCCGACGCCCCCACTTTTCTGTGCACTTTTTTCTAGCTACATAAACACACATTCCACGTCTCACTGGTGCTGTGTCTCTTGCCTCCTGACGCCCCGCCGCCGGCGCTGGCTCTGTCCTTGGCGGTCTCTAGGCCACCGTCCCCGCGACAGAGCGGGACCTACGGCCTCAGCCCTCGCAGGTGGCCACTCGTGTCCTTCACACTTCAAATATCAGGTGAACCCAAGGCTGGGAAGGGCGGCGACCTGCACAGGATTGTGCAGATAGTAGCACAGCCAGGACAAGGACTCAAACTGGGGCTCCATGGAAGTTTCCCGCCCCCATCATTCCGCTCCTCATCTCCCTGTGTTCTTGCAATAAGCGCTTAATGTGCCCCCACTTGCTGCCCTGCCTTTGTTTCGTTCTCAGATCTTTTGTTCCCCTTAAAGGACGTTTAGAGATGGGTCTCCTTCCACAAGTGCCAATTTATTTATGCCCACCCTTTGGATCTGGGCACTAAGGTACAGTTTCCCTCTTACTAGTATTGACCCACAGCAGCTCTAATCGCCTGTAGCTTTCATGTAGTCATGGCCCAGCTTAACCCTTTCTTCCCCCACAAATATCCACGTCAAGGTAGGGCAGTCAGCATGTCCGGAGTTATTATTTACTTTCCTTGTTGGTTCACCAGTCACCGCCTGAGACTTTTCCTGGCTCAGCCCTGGGCTGGGTGGTGCTGGGTCCACAGATGAGTCAGGCCTAGGCAGTCACTGCCCTGGAGAACCCAGGCCGGCCAAGGAGACGGATACTTAGAGGATGACACTTGGTGTGGCCAGGGCAGTGACTGAGGGAAGCACTGGGGGCTGTAGGAGCTTCCAGAAGGAAGCTTCTAACCCAGACTGGGAGTCAAGGAAGGCTTCCTGGAGGAGGTGACACCTGAGCTAAGTCCTAGAAGAGAAGGGTGGAGCCAGGGTTTTCAGGTGTGGGGGAGTTCAGTTCCATCTAAATCCTCAAGTCCCAGGCGCCTTACCGAGTCCCAGAACCTTCACCTTGGACCCTGCAGTTTCCTAGGGAAGGGGCCTAGACTCCTGGGTCCAGAGTACAGGGGCTTTTGGTGCTGGAAATGATGGATCCTCAGAGGCCTTCCCATGCTAGCATCAGGAAGAGCTAGCAGCCGAGGCGAGCATATGTGGGCAAGAGACAAAGGTGAGGTCTCAGCCCTAGGCTCTGGCAGACCCCTAGATTTTTTCCTTTTGGAGGCTCCCCTCCCTTGGTCTTCCGGGGTCTCCTGCTCTTCGCCTTCCGCACATTCTCCTGGGCAATGCTGCCCATGTCCTGGCATGCAACCACCTCCCTATCTTGAGGATGCCCAAATTGGCCATCTCTAGTCTTGATCCGTTCATTTACCAAGTGTTTATTGAGCACGTATTGTGCCAGGTCTGGGAAGGCAATGGGGAACCAAGCAGATATGCTTCTTGCCTTCAGGGAGCTGAAGTCTAGTAGGGAAGACATGACAAACGAGTACACAAGTGACAAGTGTGATGAAGGAATGGGGCCTTCCCTGACTGCCTAGATAAAGCCAACCCTTCCCCTGATTTCCACCCCATGGCACCTCCCTAGTTCCTTCATATCACTTATCACTATTGTAAGTAGGTGTTTATTTGTTGATTGCTTATGTCTGATTCTGAAACTGGAACAAAAGCTCCTGAGAGCCGGCAACATGTTTGTTTTGCTGACCGTTGTCTCTCCAGTGTCTAGAATAGTGTCTAATACTAAGCGGGTGCTCAACAAATGTTTATTAAGGAAGGAAGGAACAAAGAAGAAAGGAAAGGAGAAGTGAGAAGGAAAAAATAGAGAACTAAGACAGAGTAGGTGGGGAAAGGATTACTTCAACCAGGTAGTCAGAGAAGGCTCAGTGAAATGTAGTGTCTAAGCTGAGGCTCGAAGGCTGAGAAAGGGGCAGCCAGGCGAACAGCCTGAGCAGAGCAGTCCAGGCAGAGGAGACAGCAAGCGCAAAGGCCAGGGGGTAGGACAGAGTTTGACATATTGGGAGAAAGGAAAGGCGGCCAGTGTGGCTGGATTAGAGCAAGAAATGGAGAGAGTTAGGAGATGAGGTCAAAGAGGAAATAGATGTCACATCATGATGGGCCTTGTAGTCCATGATGAGGATATTTTATTTTAAGTGCCTATAACCCAAATGTGTCCTCTGACACTTGTTCCTGGATTTCTTTTTTTTTTTATTTCAGAATATTACAGGGGTACAAATGTTTAGGTTACATATATTGCCTTTGCACCGCCTGAGTCCGAGCTACAAGCATGCCCATCCCCCAGACAGTGTATATTCCATTCACACCATTAGGTGTGAATATACCCAGCCCCTCCACCCCCTTCCACCTGCCCAACACCTGACGAATGTTACTTCCAGATGTGTGCAAAAGTGTTGATCAATTAGTACCAATTTAATGGTGAGTATATGTGGTGCTTGTTTTTCCATTCTTGTGACACTTCACTTAGTAGAATGGGCTCCAGCTCTATCCAGGATAATACAAGAGGTGTTGGTCACCGTTGTTTTTTATGGCTGAGTAGTACCCCATGGTATACATATACCATATTTTATTAATCCACTCACGTATCAATGGGCACTTGGGTTGTTTCCACATCTTTGCAATTGTGAATTGTGCTGCTATAAACATTCTAGTGCAGATGTCTTTATTATAGAATGTCTTTTTTTTCCTTTGAGTAGACGCCCAGTAGTGGGATTGCTGGATCAAATGGTAGCTCTGCTCTTAGCTCTTTGAGGTAGCTCCATATTACTTTCCATAGAGGTCGTACTAGTTTGCAGTCCCACCAGCAGTGTATGAGTGTTCCTATCTCTCTGCATCCATGCCAATATTTGTTTTGGGCCTTTTTGATAAAAGCCGTTCTCACAGGAGTTAAGTGATATCTCACTGTGGTTTTCTGTTTCTGGATTTCTCTCAGTCACTTCAAATTCATCATCCCCAGAAGCAGACACTGTGGGTGCCCTGCCCATATCCACTTAGCCCACCTAGAAAGTCATACAGACAGTTCCCAGACACCCAGACTCCCCAGCTGCTTCCAGAGCTTCTTGTCTGCGGTACTCTCCAGAGGACAGTGTGCTCCATGTACTTGGTACGCCTGAAATGTGAGAGTGTCTGCAACTTTCAACCAGTGAGAAACAGGAATTGGTGAATACCCCAACTTCCTGGCCCCTTAGGGTCATTTCTGGGATGTGTTCTTTACAGTGTCACAGGGGTCCTCACTGGGGTTCAGTTATAACCTGTCCAACAACATACTCTTTAGTGGCTTTTCTCCTTTATTGTCCCACTTCCCCTCTCCTCCTAGTCCTTCCTGGGATCCCTTCCGCAGTGAAGTCCTTGCACCCAAATTCTTGTCTCAGGGTCTGCTTCTGAAGGAACCCAAACTAAGGTACTTTTTTAACAAAATTCATTATTTTCCCCTAAAATATTTTTCTCTCTTTCCCATCTCAGGGATGACTGCGGCTCCCATAGTCAGACTGTTCCCCAACATCCAAGTCTTGTCCATTCTTCTAGAAAGGCAGACGTACAGATATTATTAATAACAAACTCCCTCACTTCTTGTGTCCAGCCCTGGGCTGAGCAGCGGGACTGCAGAGGATGAATCAGATCAGTCTCAGCTCTTGAGGAGTCTCTAGTCTGTTGAGGAGACAGACCTGGATCCAGACAAGGACCGCACAGTGTGCTCAGAACTGTATCAGAAAAGTGGGAGAAGTCTTTCTTAAAGAGGTGACAGGCTGGGCACTGAAGGCTGAGGAGTTGGCCATTTGGGAGGCAGGGGAGCAATCTAAGCAGAAGGCACAGTTTATGCAAAAGATTGAGGGGAAAAAAAGAAAGAAAGAAAGAAAGAGAAAGAAAGGAAGGAAGGAAGGAAGGAAGGAAAGAAAAAAAAGAAACTGTCTAGGCTGCATAGGTTCAGGGAATGGGATGGGAAATATGACTTCACTCTAGATTTGGTGTGGAGAAACAAGGGGAAGGGTGAGCAGGAGTCAGGGCATGGCAGGCCTTGGAAATCAGGCGGAAGAGTCTGTGCTTCCTCCTGAGTGTGAAGGGGAGCTATGGAGGGCTTCTGACGAGGGGAGTGACACTGTCAGATTTGGGTTTGAAAATGATTCCTCTGCATTAGACAAAACCAGGGGCTGGCTCAGCCAGGCTCCCTGGGTAGAGGCTGAAGGTATGCATTTTTAGGGAATAAAAGAGGCAATTCTGAGTCTGGGGCACTGGGGAGAAGGCGGGGCTAAGGCCCAGGAAGAAGTGCTCCTGAACTTGAAAGGGCCCAGCTCCCCAGGACCAGCCTTCGGCCTTGATATGACCTGATTCAGCTAAACAAAGCTGGGAAGGGGGGACGAGACCTGGGGGACTTGTCGGCTCACTGCCCCTGAGGTAACCATTAATCCTGCTCCTTGGGGAGCCCAGGGGCCGGTCCCTCAAGGGGCAGATGCTGGGTAGAATGGAGGAACACACGGAGGCAAGCTTGGCACCAGATCCAGGGGTCCAGAGGGTCCTAATCGACAATCCTGCTGATATCCTGGTCATTGCTGCTTATTTCCTGCTGGTCATTGGTGTTGGCTTGTGGGTGAGAAATTGAGGGGGTCCTAATGGGGGCTGGGCTTTTGGGATTTGGAGGAAAAGTCTCAGAGAGACTTTCTAGATGGGGGAAGGATGCCTGGATCTTTGAGAGAGAGACCCAGGGCTCTGAGGGGCAAGCAGGTCTTTTGAGGGCCTCAGCGAGGCTCAGACAACATTAATTCCTTGTCTTCCCACCTTTGGATTGTGCTAGGTAAGGAGGTCAATGGATTTTTGTCAGAGTCAGCATCCTTAATGAGATCCTGGTTCCCATGTCCACATGATGGCTGACCAGCAGCTGCATCCAAGGTCCCCAGGAAAGGCAGACCAAATCCAGCCACAATAAGACTTGGGTACCTGGACACTAGGATTAGGCCCTGGTTGCTCTGGGTGTCTGGGAGGAGGTTGGGGTGGGGGTGCAAACAATCAGCGGAGCTGAGTGCTGGTTAATCTTCAGCCTGAAACAAGGCTGAGGAATGTGTTGAGAAGGCTAATGAAGTCCAAAGACGTGCCCCAAACCCAGGTCTCCCCCTGCTTCTGTCCCCCAGTCTATGTGCAGAACCAACAGAGGCACTGTCGGCGGCTACTTCCTGGCGGGGCGAAGCATGGTGTGGTGGCCGGTGAGCGGCGCTGGGCCGTGGAGCGGGAGCGGGCCTGTAGAAGCAGCCTGGCTAACAGCCCCCTCTGGCCACACAGGTTGGGGCCTCTCTCTTCGCCAGCAACATCGGCAGCGGCCACTTTGTGGGCCTGGCAGGGACTGGTGCTGCAAGCGGCTTGGCTGTGGCTGGATTTGAGTGGAATGTGAGGCCCCCTTTTTACCAATAGCCCCACCCCCAGTGGGAACCCCTGGAAAGGTCACACCTTGGGGAAGCTCCAGGCAGGAGGGATAGGAGATTGGAGGTGGGACTTCCCAATTGCGGGTATGGCTGGGTTGGGAGTGAGTCACACATCCAGCTTGGAGGCAGAGGGATGCATGTGATGACCACTTTCAGGGCAGGCATACGTCCTGCTCCTGACTTGCTGTGTGAGCCTGTACCAGCCACTCCCCTCTGTGGGCCTTGATTTACACCTCTCTGAAGTGGGGTGAGCCTCAAAGATAGAGAAACACCTGTTGCTCTCTGATGCTGTGGTCCTGGAGTTGAGAAGAAGAGACAAAGCTCTGGGACTGAGGCTTACCTTGGAGGGTTGGGGAGATCAGAGCTTTGAGCTCAGGCTTCCTGAAGGAGGAGGCCTCTAAGCTGAGCCTTGAGGGACAAAAGGTTTGGGTTGGGTGGAGAAGAGAGGGGAGACAGCACTGCCTGGCACTGCCTGGCAGAGGCTGGGGTCAGTCTGAAGAGTCTGTGCTTGGGTTCGTATGCTAGAGAGGGGGTGGGGGGACATAGGGGCCATCTTGGGAGGGACTGGCCAGGGGTGATGGTCTGGGGAGGGAAGGAGGGCTCCAGTTAAGTGCACAGGAGGGTGCATTCCTTAATGCCCAGGGCCACTGACTGCAGTTGGGCCACAGGTGCAACCCTTCCCAGGGCCACTCGCCTTGGAGTGGGATATTCATGAAGAGAAGGTCTCTCAGATCCTTCAGGGGTGAAGGCAGACTCGTGGCAAAATCTCAGACATGGGGTCACCCTCAACTGTCTTGCTGTACCCACAGGCGCTGTTCGTGGTGCTGCTACTCGGCTGGCTCTTTGCCCCGGTGTACTTGACGGCAGGTGTCATTACAATGCCGCAGTACCTGCGCAAACGCTTTGGCGGCCATCGTATCCGCCTCTACTTGTCTATGCTTTCGCTTTTTCTGTACATCTTCACCAAGATCTCGGTGAGCATGTGCTGCGGGCGGGATGTGCCCTCGAAGGGCAGAGCCACCGAGCGGAAGGCTCTAGAGAGCCCTGGAGGGTGTGGGACCAAGAGAAATCGCTGTAAGAATCGTGGAGGCAGGGCCAGGAAGGAATAGGTCTCTGGGGCCGCAGTCACAGTGCGTGGGGCCCGGGAAGTTCAGGCCATCGAAAGATAAGGGAACTTTTGAGGTTTGGCCAGCAGGGTCATGGTCTGGGTAGGAGGGGAGCCTGGGTCGCTGCCCTGACCCCTTGGTCCTGACCTTCGCACTTGCTCCTTCCCCCAAGGTGGACATGTTCTCTGGGGCAGTATTCATTCAGCAGGCTCTGGGCTGGAACATCTACGCCTCTGTCATCGCGCTCCTGGTCATCACCATGATTTACACTGTCACAGGTGCTGACGGGGCTTAGGTTAGGGAAGGAAGCCGGCCTGGGAAATGTGCTGGGAGCTGTGGGCAGGGTTTAGAGGAGCTACCAGAGGAAAGCAGGGAGCAGAGGTTTGAACATGTGATGTGGTCCAAGCAGGAGAAGGAACTAAATCTTTGGAAAGCAAACTTCCTCGCTCCCTACTTTCCGCTGGATTTGCACTGCAAGTTCAGAGCTGAGAACCCATGCTGGGCCTGAGGGGGACTGGGGGTAAAAGACAATTTAGCAGCTCTTGCCCTCCTTGAACACGCAGGAAAGTGGACTTAACCAGTTTCCAAGATCTCTGGCCAATTCCTGTAGAGTTCAGAGGGTCCCAGGGTGGCACCTGAGGTTGGATGGGGACCACAGTAGGCGGAGCTGGTGCCCAAGCTGGCTTGAGGGGCCCCTCCGGAGAAGGGATGGAGCTGAGAATGGAACCTTGAGAATCACCCCCTTACTACACAGACCTCACAAAGACACCATATGTGCTAGGGCTAGCCTGTCTGTGAGATCACGAGCTGGGCTGTCCCCACTGACCCAGGCCCGTTGCAGGAGGGCTGGCAGCGCTGATGTACACAGATACCGTGCAGACCTTCGTCATTCTCGGGGGGTCCTTCATCCTCATGGGTTACGGTATGGGGTTCAGCCAATGGGGGAGGGGCGCGGAGGTCACGGGCGTCCGAGCTCACAGCATGGGAGCAGGGACATCGCTTGTCTCTGGCATGAGGGTCCCAAGGAGGGCCTTGGTCCTGGTGCCAGGTCCCCTGACGGCCTTGCCCGCTCAGCCTTCCACGAGGTGGGCGGGTATTCGGGTCTCTTCCACAAATACCTGGGGGCAATGACTTCGCTGACGGTGTCCGAGGATCCGGCCGTGGGCAACATCTCCAGCTCCTGCTATCGACCCCGGCCCGACTCCTACCACCTGCTTCGGGACCCTGTGACGGGGGACCTGCCGTGGCCCGCAGTGATCCTAGGGCTTACCATCGTCTCGGGCTGGTACTGGTGCAGCGACCAGGTGCGGGGTCAGGGCTCCAGTCCGGAGCGTGGCTGGGGCAGAACCGTAACCGCTGTGGGCGGAGCTGGGGGTGGAGCCCGAACCCACCGGCTGGGGCTAGGTCGAAGGTGTGGTCCGAGGGGCGGAACCCGGCCAGGCTGGAGCTAAACTCGATGGGGCGCACTCCAGTGGCAAGGTCTGAGAATGCAGTTGAATTGGGGGCACCACTGAGCCAGAGGCGGGCACAAGTTAGCGTGGAAGGTGGGGGTGCGGCGGGCTGAGGCAAGGCCTGAGGGGTTGGAGTACCGGGACTGTACGCAGGTAGCCGAACGCCCCTCTTTGTAGGTCATAGTGCAGCGCTGCCTGGCCGGGAAGAGCCTGACTCACATCAAGGCGGGCTGCATCTTGTGCGGCTATCTGAAGCTGATGCCCATGTTCCTCATGGTCATGCCAGGCATGATCAGCCGCATTCTTTACCCGGGTAACGTCTGCACCCCCGCCCAGCCCCAGGGTCCTATGTCCATCCAGCCCCTTTCTTGTGCAAAGATCCAGGGGCCCATCTTCCATTTCCATTATCCTCCCAAGACTTGCTGATCTGGCCGCCTACTCCTGCCTCCCACAAGGGGTCCCATCTCTCCTCTGCTAGGATTCCCAGTCCCCACTTCAGGGATTCTAGTTCCCAGACCGTGGCCTCTTTCTTGCAGACGAAGTGGCGTGTGTGGTGCCTGAGGTGTGTAAGCGTGTGTGTGGCACTGAGGTGGGCTGCTCCAACATCGCCTACCCGCGGCTAGTCGTGAAGCTCATGCCCAACGGTGAGGGCAGGCACCTGGGTTGCCCTTTGCTCACAGGTGCAGGGGCGCTGTGGCCACTGCTGCTGGGAGGGGTCACCCCTTGCCAAGCCCACACCGCTCAGGACACTCTGGTGACTCCAACCACACAGCTCCTGTTGGCCTGCAGGTCTGCGCGGACTCATGCTGGCCGTCATGCTGGCAGCGCTCATGTCCTCACTGGCCTCGATCTTTACCAGCAGCAGCACGCTTTTCACCATGGACATCTACACACGCCTGCGGCCTCGTGCAGGCGACCGGGAACTGCTGCTAGTAGGAAGGTGCAGCCTGGGTTGCCCCCTCCTCCCCATCTCCTGTTCCACGAATCAGCCCACGGTGGGGGCGTGGAGCAGCTGCAGGGTTCTGGGGAGAGGAGGGTCCTGGGTAGGATCTCCTGATGACCTCCAACTGCAGGCTCTGGGTGGTGTTCATCGTGGCCGTGTCAGTGGCCTGGCTACCCGTGGTGCAGGCCGCACAGGGTGGGCAGCTCTTCGATTATATCCAGTCAGTTTCCAGCTACTTGGCACCCCCCGTGTTTGCTGTCTTCCTGCTGGCGCTCTTTGTGCCCCGCGTCAACGAGAAGGTGAGTGGTGCGAGCACGTTGTAAACTTGGGGCAGGGCTTGGACATCCTGTGCTTGCTGACCTTGTCTCCCTCACAGGGTGCCTTCTGGGGACTGATTGGGGGCCTGCTGATGGGCCTGGCACGCCTTATTCCTGAATTCTCCATTGGCACCGGCAGCTGTGTGCAGCCCTCGGCGTGCCCAGCGCTGCTCTGTGGCGTGCACTACCTCTACTTTGCCATCGTACTCTTCCTCTGTTCCGGCCTCCTCATTCTCATAGTCTCACTGTGCACTGCACCCATCCCTCGAAAGCATGTAAGTGCCGGCTTCTGGATGGGCTGAGTGCCCTAACATGCACTGTGTGGGCTGGAGCGGCCATCTCCACCCTCCCTGCCGGTCTGCTTCCGCGAACACCCAGTGAGGAGGACCTGCATTTCTCTATACGGAGGGTTGTGGGGAGCAGGCTGGCAGTTTAGTTGGAAGCTGCATTTGCAGGCCAAGCACATTTGAATTTAAATACCATTTATTTGAAGTGGTCTGGCGAGAGGTGGCTTAAAGATTTTGGTGAGTTGGCAATTAAAGCCCACCAAAGCCCATCCTTGGCATGGCCTTTGGGATTCAAAACACAGGATCTGACTAGTGGCTGAGAGGGACAAAGTACCATCTTGAAAGCCCCCTAAACAGGTTTGGTTTCATGCTACTCTGGGGCAGGGCTTATGGTGGTGGGGTGGGTGCCTGCAAAAGACCTGGGCCTGGAAGGACGGACAGGATTCCAAAGCAGTAGGAGGAAACTGTGAGCAAATACCCACAGGAAGGAACATTGTGTTGGCAGGACTGTTAAGACCAGAGTCTAAAGTACCACAGTCTGGGTGTAGACAGGAGACTTGAGGTGAGAAAGGCAGGGGGAGCAGGGCCAATGGCTTTGAACTCCAAGCTGAGGGGCTTGGGGTTTGGCCTGAGGGCAAGGGGCAGCTAAGGAAGGTGGAGTTTCGAGAGCTGAGCCTCCTGCTAGGTGTGCAGACTGGACAGAGTGAGGTAAAGGAAGGTAGGGAAAGGGCTGGTGGGCCAGTGTGGACAGGATACTTTAGAGCTTGGTGTGAGGGGACAGAAGGCCCACTTGGTCCCTGCTCCCGTCACTCCCCAGCTCCACCGCCTGGTTTTCAGTCTCCGGAACAGCAAGGAGGAACGAGAGGACCTGGATGCTGATGAGCTGCAAGGCTCCTCGCTCCCCGTACAGAATGGGAGCCCAGAGCACGCAGTAGAGATGGAGGGTAAGGCACTGTCTGAGGACGAGGGCCGGGGGGACGGGGCAGCCAAGTTCCTGCAAACTAACTGTGGAGCCTCAATTTCTCCCAGAGTCACAGTCCCCATCACCAAGCCTATTCCGCCAGTGTCTGCTCTGGTTCTGTGGAATGAGCAGGGGTGGGGCAGGTGGTCCTCCACCCCCTACCCAGGAGGAGGTGGCTACAGCAGCCAGGCGGCTGGAGGATATCAGCGAGGACCCGCGCTGGGCCCGTGTGGTCAACCTCAATGCCCTGCTCATGATGACCGTGGCGGTGTTCCTCTGGGGCTTCTATGCCTAAGGCCAACTGTGTTGGACAACATAAACCACAGCAAGGGCAGGGCCCACCCTCACAATAAGTGGGAGTGGGTGGCCCTCAGTGGTCCCCAGAAAAGGGGAAAGGGCAGGAGTGGGGTGGGAAGATCCTGGTTCTCATTTTCTCTGTCTATCTCCGCCTGGGGCTCAGTCCATCTGACTGGCAGTCACTTCCCATGAGGGCTTGGCCAATCTGCCATAGCAGCTCCCCTAAGCAAAAATAAAGCTGCCTTTCCCACGGCCTGCTGTGGTCAAAGTGTCCTTGCTCCAGGCTCCTGTCCTGAGCCCTGGGCCTCCACCTGGGCTGCTCACAAGACCTTCTTTTCTGGAGACAGGGGCCACGTGGCCCTCCATTCATCCACCTCTAGCTGGTGCTTCTCGGTCTGCCAGCCAGCATCTTGTAGTCCTAGGGAGAGATCATGGGGTGCTGCCGGGAATGCTGGGTAAGAGATTCCAGGCTGACCCTGGGGAGAGGGGGAAGGAGAGGCACAGCCGGGAGCAGACTTTGTGCACTACTTTAGCTCTCCTTGCCTGGGCGATGTCTGGCCTAAAATGAGGCTAAAACCTCATCTGGTTGCAGCAAGAATTCATTGAGATAGCACATAAAAAGGGCTGGAATGGAATAGGTGCTAAATAAAGGTCATCACCAGTAAATGTCAGCCCCACCTCCCTTGATCCCCCCAAATGTTTCCTAAATGCCAACTAGGATTATACAGACTGTAGACATTGACACAGCTTCAGAGACCATCCTAACCTCTCCATCCTACAGACAGTGAAACTGAGTCCCAGAGTCAAGATCACAGAGAGAACCCAAGTCTTTTATCTTCCAGGTGGGAGGGTGGAGGTAGGAATAGGCAGGGTCCCCAGGGAGAAGGCTTCAGGGACCAAGGAGCCATGGGGCTGAAGGATGTTACCTTTCAAGAACTTTGGGAAAAGCTTATCCAGCACTTGGTGTATCTCCTTGACGATGACCCAGCTATCTTTCTCAGGACCTGGGGTGGAATGCAGAACGAGCTTTCCTGTCCTCTCTCCACTTCTGCACTGTGTCATCAGCAGTCTAGATCATGAGGCCTTTTCTTACCTGCTCGCACCTGGTTCCTCAGTTCCTCCAGCTCTCCTGGAAGGGGTCCGTCTCCCTGCAGGGCTCCAAGCACCAGCCCATGTGTGGCGGCCCTTAGGATGGTCTCAGGGCCCGCCATCTGGCTCAGAACTACCTGTACGCGGTCTAGAGAGACCCAGAGACATACTGGTATCAGGGAAGGGCCACGTCCCCCAACACCCTCAATCCTATCACCCTGCTTCACCTGTCTGTCCCCAGAGGCCTTAGCCTGGCATGGAAGGCTGTCTTCCTCACCCTTTCCTTTCAACTTCATCTCCTGTTGCTCCCCATTGCTCTGGTCAAACTGAAATGCCCAATTTCCAAATACAATTTCAAAATAAACCCACCTCAGCAGCTCACAGAGATGGTTTTATTTTGCATTTCTTTAATGGCTAGTAAGAATAACCACCTTTTAACATGTGACCAGCAGACCAATAAAATCATGGGCTTGTTTACCCAAGAGGTGACCCAGAATGGGAGAGAAGAGTGGTGCCCCAGGGAGAGCCAAAAGTCACTTCCTTATTTGAGGAAGTGTGCCACAATGTACAAAGTGCTTTTGCATAATCACCTTATTTGATCCTCATAAAAACACTACAGGTAATAAGGCAGGTATTGTTAGCTTCATTTTACAGAGGGGTAAAGTGAATTTCATTGGGACATGCAGCTATAATTTGAATGCATCAAAGTCTTAGTCTAAACTCCAGAATAACTAGCAGCCTCCACAATGCCCAGGGCTTGGGGCTCTGATTGGAGGAATGAGAGGCTGATCTCAGGAGGATGAGTCTTAGGCTGGGGGAATGAGGCACACTCACTTCGTGACTGGTCCCAGCAAAGGAGGTAAGGTTCTTGGTGCCCCTCAACCAGCTGCTGCAGCTCAAAGACGCTGGGGGAGAGAAGAGAGTGCAGTGGGGGAGGGGAAAAGCAAAGGCAGGGGTACTCATCCCGTCAACTGAACAGCCACCGAACTGTTAGCCATGACTGTCCATACTTTATCTGTATGTTGCTCACTTATCTCCCCCTCAGCCACTACCCACGCACCCCACACCCATCCTTCCTTTCTTCCTGTATCCGGTCACCCATTCTCCCACCCACCCATCCTTCCTTCATCCAACAAACATATCCCTTATATCTACTTTATGCCATGTACCCCTTTCTCTCTCCCAGACCCACACTGACCCCCAAGTCTGTTAGTAGAAATGAAGAACCTAGAACAGAGAGGTGGGACATTATCGGGGAAGGCCAGTGTGTAACCGGAATAAGGAGCATGCGTGGGGAGTGTGGGTGGCAAAAATGATGGGAGGGAGACACTGTGCCACTCACCTGGAGATCAGGCGGTGTAGGGGGACCCCCAGGGATAGAGACAGGGATGGCCAGAAACCTGTGGGAAGCTGGAGTCAGCATGCCAAGCCAGTGGGAGGGGCTGGGAGGGAGACACAGGACTTGAGCCCAAGGGGTTGGGTCACCTGTCCACAGCGGTTCCATCTGATTGGCTGAGGTGGGGTCGAGTACTTCTCCCCTCTGAAGGAAGTGCTTCAGGACTAGCCGGAGCCGGCCTTCGTTTAAGGTTTCCATGACAAGGGCTCGGACTGCCCGGTAGTTGGCATAGATATGGAGGGCAGTGAGGAAGAAGAAACATCCAAGGCTGAAGCTAGGGTGAGAGAATGAGGCAGCCGATGGGGGCAGAGGCCCAGCTGCGGGTCTCCTTCCCACCCTGCTCCCAGCTTACCTGGGGCAACCCGACACCAGAGGAAGCATCAGGAGGCTGACCAGGAGCCCTGCCAGGTTCACCAGTGTCTCCTGAAAAATGGCAGCGGGGCTGAGAGTTGGAGGGCTTTCCTCCAGGCCAGACTGACTAACCTTGAGTACTTTTCACCACATTCTTCCCTGCTCCAGAACCTTCCAGGGCTCCCTACTTAAATATTTACAGTTAAATATGGGAAGAATGGATGACTGGGTACAGGAGTGCCAGGTAAATATTTAATGATTTTGGTGAGTGAGCTACCATTTATAAGGAGCCAGCTGCTTCTCTGCCCAGGTAGACACAACGCCATCGGAACACACTTTGGACATGCTTTTGTTCTGCAAGAGTCATCGGGGTAGCCCCACACTCAGGTACTCACTACTCTGTGAGTAGTTCTTCAGTGTGGGGAACCACTTTTATTTAGCGGTTTAAGAAGGCTGATCCCTACCAAACCCCTTAGTATGCAGTAACTGGCAGACAAATTTCAAAGGGATCAAGGAACCACACAGGAAGAAAAGGAACAAGATCCGAACCTCTTCCCTTAGGAATCGATGTTATTAGAACCCTCTGAAGGCCAGACTGAAGTCACTCTAGGTGAAAAGATCCCAGGTCGCCTGCCCCTAACTCATCACGAGGAAGGAGTTGTCTGGATTGGCACCCGACTACTGGGGTCCCAGGGAAAACAAGTACAACCCAGGCCCTTCACTTTAGGGTCTCCCAGGTTTATGCGTGCTCCTTCTCACCTGCTCTCTTGCTGGCCCCCAACCCTCCCCTACCCCCAAGCCGTTTTTCCCAAGGCCCCAGGGCTTCTTCAGTCTACGAGGCAGTAGACATCATAGGGACAGCCTGGGACATGTGCTCAGTCCTGCAGCAGGCCCCTGCTTTCTGCTGATGGCGCTTTGTTGCCACTCAGTGTGGCTGCAGGAAATGACTGTTCCCACCCGCGAGAGTGGAGGACCCTTTGCTCCTGAACTCCCAAGGTCCCTGATCCTCAGTTTACTGCCACACCCACAGCCTTTACTCTCACAGCCCACCCCCTTGCCAGAAGGGCTAGGTAAAAAGAACTCTCTAGCCTCAGGTCCTCTCTGTGCCAGAAAACAGGACTGGATACAACAGAGGTTTCTAAATTTCTTCAGTGTCAAAGAAAACCATCTCTCACTTCTGGGACTTCCCTGCGCCTCACTTTCCTCATCTGTGAAACAGAATAACAACAGCATCTACCTCACAGGATTAGTGTGACAGTTAAATGAAGCAATGCACACAAGCACTCAACACAGGGGTTCAGGGGATCTAATACACGCAGGGTTCAGTCTCAGGGGTGTCCCTACCCTGCCTCCAGGATCCTCTGGGCAAGTGGAGGGGCTGAGCCAGTGACCTTAGCAATCCAGATGCTGAGCACCTTTTGACTCGCCAAGCGCCTTCACATGTGGGGCCTCACGTGATCAGGACACCCCACTCCCAGGGTGGGGCTGTGGCGCACAGAGGGCAAGGGTGAGGGCTTACTCTCAGCCTCACAGGCAGTGGGCAGGACCTGAGAGGATCAGTTTGGACGTGTTGTCGCCAGAGCCTGTGCCCTCATACCTGACTACGTGTCCTGAAAGTCAGCAGGGAGCACCTGTATTTCTTCCTGTGTGCCCCCTAGCCCCCCGGGACACTCAGGTGCTTCTCTCCATATTCCTAAACTGTGACCTGGCCCCTCCCTCTCCCCCACACCATCCCTGCAACCCTGGCTCCTCACCTGGCTGCTGTCCTTGGCTGACACATCGGCCATGTTGTTTCTCCGGGCCTGGTGCATGGTCAGGGCAGCTCGAGTGGCCCCGCCGGCCACACTCACAATGCACTGGGTCGGGAAAGGGAAGAGTGAAGGTCAGAGCAGCTGTGTGCTGCGGAAACACAGGCGCTCAGTCCAGGAGGCCTGGTGACCCCCAGTAAGACCCTGAATGCTACCCTTGCTAGCTAGTTCTTACCTTGCACTTCCCTTAGGCCCTCCTCCCCCATCTTGTTCCAGGAGAAAACTAAAGTCCTGCTTGCCACTATCACCCTGGGGATGTGGCCCCACAGAAACTCAATGTCCTTCCCCAAGGTGGAGGCCCAAAGACCATTCTTAGCTCACAGCTTCCTGACCCTTCTACTCCTACTCTGGCTACACCCTCTCCCTTGCTGAGCTCCCGGGCCCAGTCTGCCTTCCAACTTAATGTTTACATTCTGCCTGCAGTTCCTGTACTCTCTTCCTGCTGCAGTGAAGGCCTATCCAGCCTTCCAGGCCAGTTAAAGAGTGACATTGGTGGCCTCGACCTCCTAGGGAACCTGGATCTCTCCCTCTGAGATCTCAGGTGATAAAGCTCTTCGATGAGGGTCACTGATCACCCTCATTCATTCCGTATTTATCAAGGTTCTTTCAGATGCCAGTCACAGATTTAGGTGCTATTATACAAGTCGGACACAGGCCCTGCCCTCATGAAGCTTATAGGTCAATAGATAGTAAACAAACAAGTTATTATACAGGCAGAGGAAATAGTTTGTTCAAAGGCAAGAGGAATGTGGTACAAAATGTGGACCTGACCACGTGGCACCTTGCTAAGGTCTTTATCCTAAGAGCTATGGGGCAGGGAAGTGACCTGATTTGATTTCCACTTTGCAAGATTATTGGGCTGCTCTGAGAACAGGGGTGAGAGTAGAAGCAGGGAGACTACCTAGGAAGTAACTGTGCTTCTCCAGCAATGAGATGGTGGTGATGGGGAGATGGAGGAGTGAATGAACTACAAAGATCTAGGAGGGAAAAATAATAGAACTGAGTGGAGGTTTAGCTGAGAGTGACAGCTGAAGGGGGATGAGAAGGCATGGATGACATCCAGGCTTCTCTTGGTATAGCTGGGGGATGGACGTGCTAGTTACTGAGACAGGAACTCTAGAGAGGGGTTTTAAGGGGGTAAGTTCATGGCCCTGTGCTATTCCCTTATTTGACACATGGACAGATGGAGGCCCCAAAAGTAGAGTTTAGTATAGAATTTAAAGCACATGTCAGAGGTCCCAAACCTTAGTCTACAGCTACAGCCATGTTTTCTCTGGGGTTTTCTACCCTGGGGGTGGGTGAGTAGGGGTGCTCATAGCATTTAGTGCCTTCGCCAGGGAAGCTAAATGTCCTCCACCACAAAGAACTGTTCCACCCAAAATGCCAGTAGTGCTTTGTAGAGAAACACTACCCTAAAGTGATTTTAAACAGATAGCTGGGCCCTTGATGTGGGTCTTACTTGTCTTCTTGGGTCTTTACTCTGTGCCAGGTACTTGACTCTAGTGAGGACAGGCTACGTTCTTTACTGATCCTTGCTAGGCCTCAGTGTCTGAACAAGGCCAACCTGCAGGAGGTGCGAGGGTGGGCAGCCTGGCACAGAAGGAGAGCCTGCATTTGCCCCACTTACTCCTCCGGCCTCACTGCCTGGTCCGTGCTGTCTTGCCTTAGGACTTTAACCCATACTGTTTCTTCTGCCCAGAACACCCACTCTGCACCTTCAGCTCAATCTTCAGGACCCAGCTCCAAGGGAGGCCTTCCTGCATCTTCTGACCATGCTGGGTTCCCTGCTGATCCCTCTCGCAGCCCCCTACATTTCTCATATGGAATACCTGTACTATCATTCCGTAAATATTTCTGTAATTATAAGTGGCTTACTTTCAAAGATGGGAGGGCCACGTTCTGTGCTGAGCATGTGGTAGGCACTCGATAAATATTTTACTGGAAGAATTTTGACATTAAACCACTCCTTCTACTTCTCGGCTTAGAGTTCCCTCACCAGTCCTGTGATTCTAGCCTGCTTTAGGCTGACTGAAGCACAAGAGGCTGCCTGGCTGGAGGAGGATCAAATATGGTTGGGTCCGAGTAGAAACATCTGAACTTCCTCACTCTCCTAGAAGCACAGAGCCCAAGAGAGCCCACACACAACACTACCAAGGCTTGGGCATAGGGGTGCCCCAGAGGTGGGTACCTTGGCCAGGTTGCTGGTGCACACAGTCATGGTGAAACAGATTGGGTATATGGGAGCCATAATCTCGAGGAACATGGCTACATCATTGAGGATGTCAGCAAAAAGCCTGGGGGTGGGATCAGAAGTTAGAGGTCAGAGCTAAGCGACCTTCATAATAGAAGACTCTCCTACCCCTGTCCCAGCCCCTTCTTACCTCCACTGCTTGGCATTACAGTCCAGTTTGCTCCTGTAGGGGAGGAGAGGTTGTTGCCATTTGGATTTAGGGAGAAAACATGTCCTATGGGCAGTGTGGGGAGTCTTAGGCCATGGTAAGGTCTGAAGGGCTCAGGAAAACTCATACTCCACGCAGACATCTGTCCCCATAGCCTGTCACTGCAACTTGAAATGCCACCATTAACTGAGAGGACCTTCAGTGATCACCTGGTGTTTCCCCCTTATTAACCATGACTTACCAGGGAAAAAACCTGACTGTCTTATAGCTGCTTCCCAACCTTTGGCCATTTTTTTAGAGAGACTATTCCTGGGTTTCTCTGCCTCTCCTCTCTTTTTCTTGCTTCACTGAGGGCACCCGGCAAGAAGTCTATACATTTTGGACTGGTAAACACTAAGTTAAGTGTAACCTCTCATGTTACAGATAACTAGCCCAGACAGGGGATATGGTTCCCTTAGATCACATGGAGAGCAGGAGGAAAAGGCCAGGAGAAAGGGCTAGGCTTCAACATGTAGGCCTAGGATATTTCTGTTATACAACATTGTGAATGACTACCTCATCTGCCCCTCTTTGTCAGGTAGTGACTCCCTAGCCTGTGCACAAACACCTGGGGACCACTTCTCTAAGATCCTAGTGGCAGGAGATATTGCAGCCTCCAGCACAGCTCAGAATTTGCAACATTAGGCTTGAGCCTTAATTTGAAATCTCCTGGAGGGAAAGAGAACATTCCTGGGTGGCGTATCAGACACACATGGGGAGCTCCTGAACACATGGGCCTGGTCTAGGGTGCTGCCCAATGAACCATCCTGACACCGTGCAAAAAATACAGGCTTCAGGTTCAAATCCCATCTCATTAGTTAAAAGTTGTATGGCTTGGGCAAGTAACTTCCCTCTTCTAGGTATGTTTCACGTCTGTAAAATGTATACACTCAGTCCTATCCTACAAAGTTCTTATAAGGATTAGAGACAATATACAGAGTGCTTATGTGGCATAGTTAGAGCTGTTAAGGGTAGCTAGTGTTTACGGAGCACTTATTATGTACCATGCAACGTGCTAAGCACTTTGCATAGATTATCTCACTGAACCCTCACAAGCACAGTTAATGGCTAATACTATCACTATCATTACTATTATCACTGGGGAGAGTTGCCAGAAGTCTGTTGACTAGGAAGACAAACTCACCCCTTCCACCAGGCAAAGACGATGCGGCCCAGCATGCCAGTTGAATCTAGGGAAGAGACGGAGGTACTGGTAAGAAACAAGAGGCTTGGCAGCTGCAGGGCCTAGCAGATCCTGGCAATGAATTGGCCAATTCACCCTGGATCACTGTCCTTGGAAGCTCAGTCCTGTATGATTAAGTTCTGGATAGACCCAGTTAGTTTTATGATGGAGTCAGAGTGCCTAGACTTAGCAGTTCCTCAGTATGAATTCTGAGAAACATGAACAAGATATGTTCTTTGTAGCATTGTTCATAACAGCAAAAAACTGGGACTAATGCAAATGTTCACTGATAGACTGCATAAATTCTAGTACATTCCCTAAGAGGCATATTAGACAACAGTGAAAATGCAAAGAACCACAACTACCCACATCAACATAGATGAATTTACATTTACATTTATATTTATATTATATTATAATCTTGCATTAAAAAGTAACTTATAAAGACCATATATAGTATATTTACTTTTCACAAAGCTCTAAAACAACTAAAACTAAACAATATACTGTTTAGGAATACATATCTATTTGGCAAAACTATTCAAAAAAGCAGGGAATCTTTTTTTTTTTTTTTTGAGACAGGGTCTCGCTTTGTTGCCGGGACTACAGTGCCATGGTATCAGCCTCGCTCACAGCAACCTCCAACTCCTGGGCTCAAGCGATCTTACTGCCTCAGCCTCCTGAGTAGCTGGGACTACAGACATGCACCACCATGCCTGGCTAATTTTTTCTATATATTTTTAGTTGTCCAACTAATTTCTTTGTATTTTTTTTTTTTTTTTTGAGACAGAGTCTCACTCTGTTGCCCTGGCTAGAGTGAGTGCCGTGGCGTTAGCCTAGCTCACAGCAACCTCATACTCCTGGGCTCAAGGGATCCTACTGCCTCAGCCTCCAGAGTAGCTGGGACTACAGGCATGCACCACCATGCCTGGCTAATTTTTTTTTTTTATATATATTTTTAGTTGTCTAGATAATTTCTTTCTATTTTTTTAGTAGAGATGGGTTCTCGCGCTTGCTCAGGCTGGTCTTGAACTCCTGAGCTCAAAGGATCCACTCGCCTCGGCCTCCCAGAATGCTAGGATTACAGGCGTGAGCCACCGCGCCGGCCTAAAAGCAGGGAATCTTAAGTAGAAATTCGAAGGTTATTGCTGATGTTCTAGCTCTTAGGCTGGGCAGTGGGACCACAGGTGGTCATTATAATACAAATAAATAAAAAAAGGATTTAAACTCTGGTTGGTGACAGAGAGCTGGGGGTGCAGGGAGGAGGGAGAGGTCTCCTCAAGCTGGGCAGAGTAAGAGAAGCCTCCAGAACCAGCTGGACCTTCATTTGCACAACAAATGCTTATTGGCTACCTACTCTGTGCAAGGTACTTCATGAAGCATGGGGGATACTGCAGTGAAGCACAGTCATGGTTCCAGGCTCAAAATCCAGCCTAAGAGAGCAATCAGTACAAAAAACAAATTTAAACCAGCAATTGGTAAACTATAGTCTGCAGGCTTCCACTCCCTGGTTTTGTAAAGAAAGTTTTATTGGAACACATCGGTGCCCATTTGTTTACAGATTGTCTATGGTTATTTTTGAGATACAATGGGCAGAACTGAGTTGCTGCAACTGAGACTGTAAGATCAGCAAAGCATAAAATATCACTTTGCCTTTTACAGGAAAACTCTGCCAATTTAGATCATCTCTTATACTGAGTAGCACCCATTAAGCTCAGTAGGGGGATCACAAAGAAGGACTGTTTTAGAATCAGACAACCGGGAGGGACTCACACAGCAGATACCGGAAAGGACACATACTGTGGGCAGAGGATTCCAATTCGTTGAGCTTGAGGGCATTGACCCCGAAGTGGGGGATGTAAGAAGGGAAACTAGGTTGTGGGAAGATGGGTTGGGAGCTTCCCACAATATATAGAAGTAGTGACATAGGCCAGCCCTCCCCATTCTCCACTGAAAACAGATGCGCTCACTCTTTTCCAGAGCCTCTATTCTTGGGCACTGAGGTCTTCTAATAGACATGCTTACCCAACCCTGGACTGCAGGGAGAGTGCTAAGCCCTCTGGTGGATGCCTGAAATACCTAAGCCTTTCAATCTTCACAACAATCCTATGAGCTTGGGAGAGATCACTCCCTTTCACTGAAGCTCAGAGAAGATAGGTGAACAAAATGAGGATGTTTTACAAGAAAATCTGGATTTATAGCTTTTCTGTAAGAACCGGAACACACAGCAATACTGGGCCCACCTTCTCTCACTGCCAAAACCAGCTGGAGCCAAGCAGTGTCCTCATTCAAAGGACGTATGTGTACAACACACTCCCATCTGGCCTCTTTGCTTCTCCATTTCTGTCCCCTTTCTGGCTTTGGAAGTAATATCCGCTAGGGTGGCTTTACAGGGCCCTTCCCTCCTATCACTCACCTTAACCTCTTCCCTTTAAGCACATTATCTTTTTTTTTAAACCTCTTTCTTTCAATCCTTTCACGTTTCTTTCTTTCTTTTCTCTCTTCTCTTTTTTTTTTTTTTTAGAGACGGGGTCTTGTTTACGTTGCCCAGGCTGGACTCAAAGTCCTGGGCTCAAGCAATCCTCCTGCCTCAGCCTCCTGAGAAGCTGGGACTACAGGCAAGTGCCACCACATCTGGATAAGGTACATTATATTCTACACAAAATTTTCATTGTTCCATTTAATATCCTTCTATTAGATCAACTTAATGACTGAACATGGCAAGATTACTTTTACTGGTTGAGAAGCCCACTGGGCCAGACTCTATTTTTCTTCCCTTTGAATGCATACTCATAACCAACCAGGTGTATGTCCTTTGGGCCACTTGACAGAAAGGGAGTCTACCTTTTTACGGATCATCTGAGGCAGTCTGCAGGGCCCTTGTTAGAATCCTAAGGTTAGCACTAGGATGTATTAATGACACATATCCTTCCTATTATCTGAAAAGTCAACATTGTCCATTAGAATCTTTTTTTTTTTTTTTTTTGAGACAGAGTCTCACTCTGTCACCTGGGCTAGAGTGCCGTGGCATCAGCCTAGCTCGCAGCAACCTCAAACTCCTGGGCTCAAGCCATCTTCTTGCCTCAGCCTCCCGAGTAGCTGGGATTACAGGCACACGCCACTACTCCCAGCTAATTTTTTCTATTTTTAGTAGAGACAGGGGTGTCACTCTTGCTCAGGCTGGTCTTGAACTGCTTGCTAACCTCAAGCGATCCTCCCGCCTCGGCCTCCCAGAGTGCTAGGATAACAGGTATGAACCACCACGCCTGGCCTAGAATCTCCCACCTGCTTTTTTGCTTCATTTACAATTAGCTGACCTGTAAGATCTAGAAACTTCTGAGTCCTAGGTAAGGAATCAGCTATCTACAAACTGTGCTTGGCTCTACTTTAAAATCCTAACTGGCAAAAGAGTGTGGTAGTTAAGAGTGGGACACAGGAATAAGTCTGTCTGGGTCTAAATCCTGGCCCTAAGTGAACTTGGACAAATTGCTTAACCTCTCTGTGCCTCAGTTTCTCCAGGTAAAAAATTAATTAATAATGGCAGCTAACTAATATGGCTGCTGCAGAGATCAAGATACATTTTACATGTAACCGAGCAAAATGTCTGGCTGACCAAAATATTAGTTGCCAGTAGTAGTATTATTGTTACGACAATTAACACATTCCATTAAGAGATCTGTATCTGAAAATGATCACATCGAAAAATTCCAAGGGAGTTTCTTATATGAAGTTCTGCATACAAATACCCCATTTGATAAATAAGAGCTTGTAAAATCCTTTCTAATTAAGAGGTCATCTTTTAATACCAATAACAGGCTCTAAAACAAGTGGATTTTTTTTTCGTATCTTAAAATGGTTTTTATTTTTTTTAATAACCTGCCTGAGCTAAAGACATACACAGGTTGATCATCCCTAATCTGAAAATCCAAAATTTCAAATGCTCCAAAATTTGAAACTTTTTGAGTACTGACACTATGCCACAAGTGGAAATAGCCGATGGTTCCAAAATATCCAAAATGGTTCTGAATAAAAGTGATTGTGATAATAGTGACAACGAAAATGACACTGTTAACACAGCAGAAAAAGTGCCTATATATGACATGGTGAAAATGTGTGATGGGCATATTACAGGACTAAAGCAATGTGCATTCATAAGAGAACAAGAAATCATGTCAGTTTATAGAATCAAAGAGAGACTTCTAAAATAAAAACCATTGATAATGAGGCAGATGATTCTGCCACCTAGCAGAATGTCTCATCCCTAGAGGAACCACTTTCTGGTCCCTCAGCTGCTTCTGATGTTTCTTTTCACCTAAAAAAATAAAAGACAGCATATGACAATCTTTTAATCAAAACATTGTAAGTGGTGACTGAAAGCCTGTCATTTCTTATTGCTGTTTTTAACAGCCAATACAGGTATTCAGGTGATGCTAATGTGTGGCTTAGTTAATCTGAACACCTTATTTTTTCACTGTATTAATGGTGTGTCACATTTTTACACTGTTGAACACTTATGTGTGAATAAATGTAAGAATATGATTGTTTATCAGTAATGTTAAGTTCAGAGTCAGGAATGGTGATGTCAAACAACCAGATTGTCCACATGGGTGGCTGAGACAGTGACACAATGTTCAATGTACACAAACTCTGTTACAAGCACAAAATTATTAAAAACATTTTATAAAATTACCTTCAGGCTATGTGTATAATGTACATATGAAACATAAATGAATTTTGTGTTTAGACTTGAGTCTCATCCCCAAGAAATCTCATTGTATGTGCAAATACTCTAAAATCCAAAAAAAATCCAAAATTCAAAACACTTCTGGTCCCAACCATTTCAGATAAGGAATACTCAACCTGTACGGGCAACATGTTGGTGATATGGCACGAAACCATCAACTAATGATCCAAGTTCCAAATGTGTTTCCAAAACTCAGCCAACAGGAGAGCAACGATAAAGATCCAAATTAAGCACAGTGCAGTGGTATGAAAATGGACTCTGGAGCTAAATCACCTGGGTTCCAACCTACACCCTACTACCTACTGGATGTGTGCCCTTGGGGAAGTTACTATGCCTCAGTTTCCTCATTAATAAAATGGGGATAATGGCAATACCTATCTCAGAGATATTGTGAAGATTGAGTCAATACATATAAAGGACTGCCATGTAGTAAGTACTGTTTGCATGAACCATTATTATTACTAAAAGAAGAGACAACCAGGACAACAAGCCACAGATCACCACCACCTCTCCACTAACATGCACCGTCAGCCAAAGCTGCTTTCCACAGTTGAGTCATATCTGGCCACTTTACTGCCTTAATGGCAAAGGTTAAAAGTGTGAGCAGTAGGCTCTTGATTCTCCAGAAGATTCAGGGACACTCACCAGAGATGTGGCCAAGTGATACTAGGAGTGAAATGAACCTCTCCTTGGGTCTGATTTAAATATCCACTGGAACAGTAGTGAAAGACAAAGGACAGTGGCAAGAACCATGGGCCCTCCTGATGTGCAACACATAGCAGTTTCCCTTTTCTTCTCTGTGTCACTCTCTAGGTGGCATGGTAACATATCATATCTTTTTTTCTTAATGGTTTTTCAAAAAGCTGTACACACTCAGCAGATGGTCACCGTATTATTTGTGGCATCATCTAGTATCCCAGAGGATACAGAACACCTTTCATCCTTTCCAGAATCTCCTCTCTCCTACTCAGGACCAAACACGTACTTTTTTCCTGGAACTAACCAACTTCCCCCACGCTGGGTAGCTGCCAGTTTTATTCAATAAATTGCATTCTCATGCAGTCTTTCACAAAGAGACGAGGGATAAAAGATAAAGGGGCCGGGGATGGTTAACTTACGGATTTGGGATCCAAATGATTTAGGGACTCTGAAGTTTGTATGGGGAATGGTGTGTGGGGATGAGGGTATTTCAGTTGCGGGCGATAAGACTGGGATACAGAAACACTGCTCTAGGCACTGGGGAGACTCGCTTGTATCTACCTAATCAGGCAGAGTCCTTAAATAAACACACATCAGAACCCAGAGGGGGCAGGGCTGAGAGCAGCAACAGCTGTGACTCCAGGGGTCTAGCTCACCTTTCACAAGCCAGGTGGCCGTGGCAGCTGAAACAGAGGCTTTTGCGTTCCCCACCCCTATGCCCAGCAAGACTGCTTGGGTGGCCAGGGAGCCCGAGAGGCTGGAAGCGAAGGCCTGGAGAAGAAAAGAAGTGGGGTAAGGAGTGGGCGCAGGAGCATGGAGGTCTACGTTCTATTATCGGCCCTCCTTCTTGGTGTTTGATCCGGGACATGTCGGAGCCCCGCTCTGGGCCTCAGTCTTCCGTCTATAAATGGGAGAGAGACGTAGCCTGCAGTGTTCCCTCACCCCCAGACATAGGCCACCCCCTGCCCCAGACGGCCCGGCTGACCTGCACGGAATCCCATAGCTGGTAGGGCAGATAGTCTGGGCTGACGCTATCAGGGAAGCCCTGCGGCAGGAACACTGCCTGGAGACCGGAGAGAGGTGGTGACGACGTCCCTGGAGCCCCCGCGCCGCCCTCATCTCGTCCTTCGGGTCTCACCGGGAAGGCCCCCGAGAACCCCCACCAGCTCCACCCCCGGGCCTCCCACTGCAGGCTCCCGTCGGCGGCCGCGCGGCAGCCCCGTGCGGCCCCGGAGCCAAACTGCTCCGAGCAGAGCTGGGCCTCCCGACTCGCGCCTTCAGCCATGCCAAATTTCTCCGTCAGAGTCCCGACGATAAACGTGGCTGGGCTGCACGTCGGGCTCGGCTACGGTGGCTGCAGAGGGGCAATCTTCCTTCTTGAAAGGGCACCCGGCCTACGCGTCCTCCTTTGCTGTGTTCCGAACTCACAGGATCCCGCTCTCAGGCCTCCCGTGCCCGTTCTCGGACTCCCCAGCACTAGTCTGGCCCTTTTTCTTTGTAGCATTTTGTAGTTAGGCGGCAGGCGTAGCGGGGCCCCTTTGGCCCGCCAAGTCCCCGAGGCACCTGAATTCCTTGTGACCCGCAACTTCCAGTAATGGGGAGAAGGAAAGAGGGGGACCCTAGGGAAACAGTTATGTTCAACAACCCGTTTGGCCACAGAATTTTTAGCTGTGTCTTTGGGCAAGTCGGTTGCCTTTTTTGCTGTGAGGCCAGGGACTATATTTTTACTCCTTATTTTAAACCCAGTCCTGCCTAACACAGTAGGTACACAAAAGATATTTATGAATGAATGAATGAATGCCCGATGAGAAGAAATTGGACCAGATGAGGCCCTGTTAAGCTTCCTAGTTTTCTGTTTTTTGGTTTTTTTCTTCTGAGCGTCCCTGGCATCGACTAGAATTCTGTCTTTCAGCCTTCTCCGAGATTGGAGGATTATTACTTCTGAAAGGATCCTAAAGAATCTGAGGGATGGGAAAGTCAAGGGATTGCAATAATGTCAGAAAAGAAGAAAAATAGGAAGTTGGTGTGTGTTTTTTGGGGGAGAAGGTCCATGAAACTGGGGGGAGAGTCTAAAGAGAGAATGTTTCTCTCCCTGCCAATTCACCTCTTTTTCTCCTTCCCTTTCTCTTTCCCGTCTAGTGCAATGTATTCACTCTAACGTAGAAATTTGCCAAAAGCACCCTGTTTTTATCAGAAGGTTTCTTAGCCTGGCATTCTTGGAACCCCACCGTTTGACTCCAACTGACAACTCCTTACTTGAGACTTCTGATTCTCCCAAACTATCACCTTCTCCATGGACTTCAGCCTGTAAGGCCCTTCTACCCGACCTCGCCTTACTTGACACATACGCAGAGTGACTCTGAGGCTGAGATAAACTTGAGCACTTCATTTTTTTTTTTTTTAATTTTGAGTTTCAAAATACAGATGGCATAGTCACTTAACATTTCTGTAATGTTTTCTATATTCAGGTACTGGTTTGAATAGAGGACAAAAAAAAATAAAACAGAAAATTTGAAGACTAAGTACTTTTATTTAAGAGTGACCAAAACATATATTTGAAAAACACTTTAAGAACCTTTGTAAAACAACATCAAACTGAGCGTGTAAATATGCATAGTAAAGAAGCAATTAGCATTCTGTAGAGTTAATCACAGTGTACTTTTGGGGAGGACAGGAGTTAATCA